GCTGCATGTTATCAATGTTATCACGTTTCCTTCTGATTCTGTGCCCTCCTCCTAGCTTCCCTCATATGTGCACATGCATATACCATATGTGGGGTGAAGAATTGAGTCATCTGAAAAGAATAGACAAATTAAGAAGAGGTCCTTTGTTTACTGAGTCCTGTTTACGTTATCATACCTTGTTACATTTTGAATTTAACATCCGCATGTCAGGAAGATCACGTGCCGTTTGTCTCTCTGATCTTGGCTTATTTTGCTCAACATTTGTTCTAGTGCCATCCATTTCCCTGTGAATGTCATCATTTTGTTCTAATGGCTGTGTAGTATTTCATTGTATATAGGTACCACAATTTATGGATCCATTCATCTGTAGTGGGGCATCTGGGTTGTTTCCATATCTTAGCTATTGTGAACAGTGCAGCAATGAACATGGAGGTGCATGTGTCCTTGTATCCTGGTTCCTGTTGCTCATGGTAGATGCCTAGAGTGATATGGCTGGGTCATATGGAAGGTCTATGTTTAATTTTCTGAGGAGCCCCCAGGCTGCTTTCCAGAGTAGTTTTATTAGTTTACATTCCCACCAGCAATGAAGTAGGGTCCCTCTTTCTACACATCCCCGCCAGCATTTGTTGTTGTTTGTTTTTGGGGTCCGGTTGTGGGGCCTGAACTCTGGGCCTGAGTGCTGTCCCTCAGCTCTTCAGCTCAAGGCTAGTGCTCTACCACTTGAGCCACAGCGCCACTTCCAGCTTTTTTCTTTTTGCTTATGTGGTGCTGAGGAATCGAACCCAGGGCCTCATGCATGCAAGGCAAGTGCTCTACCACTGAGCCACCTTCCCAGCCCCATTTGTTGTTGTTTGAATTTAGGTATATAGAACATTCTGGGGTAAGGTAGTTATCTCAGTTGTTTTTATATGCATTTCCTTTATGGTGAAGGATGATGAAGTGTTTCTTTTCCTTTTTTTTTGGTCATGGGGCTTGAACTCTCTGGGCCTGGGTGCTGTCCCTTAGCTCTTTAGCTTAAGGCTAGCGCTCTACCACTTGAGCCACAGCACTGGTTTTCTGGTGGTTAATTGGAGATAAGAGTCTCAGACTTTCTTGCCTGGGCTGGCTTTGAACCACAATTCTCAGATCTCAGCCTCCTGAGTAGCTAGGACCACAGGCATGAGCCACCAGTACCCAGATTTTCTTTGCCATTTATACCTCTTCTGAGAAGTCTCTCTCTTTTTTTTTTTTGGTTGGTCATGGAGCTTGAACTCTGGGCTTGGGCGCTGCCCCTGTGCTCTTCAGCTCAAGGTGAGCACTCTACCGCTTGAGCCATAGCACCACTTCTGGTTTGATAGTGGTTTATTGGAAATAAAGTCTCAAGTACTTTCCTGCCCGGGTTGGCTTTGAACTTTGATCCTCAGATCTCAGCCTCCTGAGTAGCTATGATTACAGGCATGAGCCACCAGTGCCTGGCCTGAGAAGTCTCTAGCTCCCTTGCCCATTTAATGAATAGTTTGTTAGATTTGGGAAGGATTAGTTTCTTGAGTTCGTGCATATGAATCACAGATTCTTTAATTCAGATCTAACTAGAAAAGTTTAATCCAAGATCAATACTGTAAGTCTAAATCTATAGTTAATGGAGAACTTTGACAAACTAAGAATGCTGACATAGGTGCTTTTGGAAGACCAGCCCTGAACCAGCCATTGTTGCATAAAGGAATATTTGCAAATATTTGTACACCTGTTTTCATCAATGTACGTTAAAACTAAGAAGGACTTTTTCCTAAAAAATAATAAATTTAACATTCTAATAGTAGTATTTTAAGAATCATTGCTTTGCAATATTGAGACCAGAGTATGATTATTGTAGTAACATTTACCAGGATGTTTGCTGGAAAATTTGTGTTCATGTAAAGTTGCAAATTAAAAGGGGACATAGGCATTTGTGCTTTTTTCATCCATGTAGCTGGTTATTAACTGGCTGAGTGTACTGCAACCTGGTTAAAAATTGGGCTTTTGTTTTTGTATTGGGCTTGAACTCAGGGCCTGAGCATTATCTTTGAAGTTTTGTGCTTAAAGCTAGAGCTCTACCACTTGTGTCACAGCTCCACTTCTGACTCTTTCGGTAGTTAACTGGAGATAAGAATCTCATGGGCTTTCCTGGCTAGGCTGGGTTTGAACCACAATCCTCAGATCTTAGCCTCCTGAGTAGCGAGGATTAAAGGCGTGAGCCACCAGTGCCTGGCTTGGGCTTCTGTTTGTAAAGAGTCAGCTGAAGGAGTGTTGAATAGGGCATGCAGTCAGAAAGCTGCCTTTGCTGTCATCTCCTCATGGGCTGTTCAGCCCTAGTCTCCCTTCCAGGAGCCTACTATGGAAGATAGGTGATGGGCAGAAAACAAGATGTGGAAAACAAAACACACACACACACACACACACACACACAAACACATAGACACACACAGACACAGAACAATCCTTCTGTTTTTACAATGTGATAAAAATCAAACAACTTTTCTGGAGTAAGGAGACTTTCTGAGCCACCCAGGATGCTTTCTACTGACAGACTTTGCAATCAGAGCGACCTCGTCCCTTCTTAGTACAACTCTGAGGGAGAAGGCCACCCTCCCCAGTGTACAGGTACAGGGCTGAACTAGTCCTTCCTCTTCTCTCTCTAACTCAGATCTCAGGGACACTACTCCTTGGCTGGGTTAGTGGAACTTCCAGGAAGATTCTGGGTTTGGGGCAGGAGGATCATAAATTTGAGGCTGCCTGATTTAGATATTTTTAAAAAGAAACAGGGCTAGGGTTGTAGCTCAAATTGTAGAACACCTGACTAGCAAGCATGAGGCTCCTGAGTCAGAACCCAGTACTGCCAAATCAGCAATAATGATGGGGAGGGGGAGGATGGGAGAGGAAAGGAGGAGGAAAGGAATGGGGAGGGAAGGGAAGACAGTGAGAGACAGACATATTCTCCACGTGTATGGAAAGAAATTGGGTTAGTAGGAATGTAACATGGTGCAATTACTATGGAAAACAGGCAGGATGATCCTCAAAAAAAAAAAAAAATAAAAAGAATAGCATACTATCCAGCAGTTTTACTTCTAGGTATATATCCAAAAGAAAATAAGGCCTCCGAAAGACGTGTGCACCTCTGTTCATAGTGCTTTACAACAGTTGACAGATGGAAGTAACGCAAATACCCACCAATGGACAAATAAACAAAATGTGATGATATATCCATCTTCTGAAATGTTATTCAGCCTTAGAAAGGAAGGAAATCCTGACACACAGATGAAGCCTGAGGACATTATACTCAGTAAAATAAGAAAGAAAGAAAAAAGAACTGTATGATCCTATTTACATGGAGTATCTAGAGAAGTCCAACTCATAGGGAGAGTAGAATGGTAGTTACTAGAAGCTAGTTTGAAAAAGGAATGGGAGGTACTGCTCAAGGGATAATATATAATTGGGGGCGGGGTACAGGGCAGATTTGGTTTGTTCCCTAGAGCCTCTACAGTATGACAGTGTTGAAATTGCAGGTTCTCCCCAACTTTTTTTTTTTTTTTGCAGTACTATTTGCACTTAGGGCCTCACACTTGCTAGACAGGTGTTCTACTTGAGCCATGCCAGTAGCCCCCCTAGAACTGTGAGCTAAACAGACCTCTTTCCTTTATGAACTTTCCAATCTCAAATATTTTGTTATAGCAATACAAAATGGATGAACACAAAAAGAAAGGTTCAAGTTTTAGACTCAGAATGGGACAAGGTGCTTCATCTATTACTACCTGATTCAGGATGAAAGATATCTCAAAGACTCATGGAAACATTTGTAGGGGATGCTAATAGTGACTCTGGTGAGAACTTAGGAAGGGGATTATGAGCAAGCCAGCACAGCTGTCACTTCCTGAAGAGACAAGGAAAGGTATCTAGGACCTGTGGCTGGCTGACACCTCAGGGTTCTAAAAGGACACATCTGTCATGAAAATGTAAATCTGTTAGGATTAAAAATGATTCTGCACCCTGATCCATCTTCCTCAAGTCTGGCTTGGGCCTATTGGTTGATCTTTCCAAAAACTCAAATGCACACTCAAGAGAAAGAACACTCCAGACATTTTGTTGTCCTAACTTGTCAAGGAGGCCACCCTCAGAGCCTTCTGAACCAAGTCACCACTCAAAGGAGTACCAACAGGGTACCACAGTAAGATTCTTTGCTCATCAAGATTTGTAGGCTCCAGAGCATCTATTTAAAAACCAGGTGAGGTACTTATCCACAACAGGGAAGATTACAGGGGCAGAAGACCATTACCTCCTGTCTTGGCACAGGCCAGGAGTCTGACTGAAGTACACACAGTTCTGCTATTATTTTAGGCTGGCTTCTTCACGTTGGCACTTCTTGGTGCGATGGAATCAAACATTCCTCCTTCTGCCAGCTGGCCCTATCACTAGGTTATCTTGGGATCTCCTCTGAGGAGTCTCTTACACCTCTAGTATGAGGAGTTCAAATAATCAGTGCCTAACTCTGCAGATGGGCCCTGGGAGCAAGTTCCATGAGAACTCTTCCTTCCCCTCACCCATGGAGACCATCCTATTCCTCTGTGTCCAAGTCCTGCTGATCCTGGCAGCCTCTATCATGGGGTACTGGTTTCCTCCTGTGTGGCACAGGCCAGGTCCCCTCACATGCTTAGTGCATTCCTCTGGCATGGGATACCTTTAACCTCAGCCCTACCTGAGGCCACCCCAGCAGGATTGGCATAGCTCCTTCCCACAGGATTTTGTCTTGTGCTTCTGACTCCCGGACCGGAGTTGCAAGGGGATAACCAGGGGTAGGCGAGAGTCAGAGGTAGAAAGTTAATAGAAGCTGAGATCAAATGTCACATCATCAGATAAAAGCAGGCAGAGGGACCCAAGATCTGACTGTGCCAAGAAAATCCCAGTCTTAGGTTCTAAACTCCCAATGCAGAAACCACAAACCAAGGGAAAAGATAAAAAATTATAGTCGTTTTTTTCCTCCCAACAGCTAGTTCTTAGCAATGTTTATTACTCAGCCTGAGTTGAAATAACATTAGACAAAAATAGAAACAGCTCTGGTTTTACAAAGTCTCTGTCCAAGTCCTCTCTGCTGCTGTGCTGCAGGGAGAGGGCACCTGGAGGATCCCAGACAGTGCAGAGCCTTCAGGGAGGCCACGGGCTTGGTGCCAAGTAGAGAGCAGAACCCTGAAAGCCAGTCAACTTGGCCCAGTAGACCCAGGGGGAACCTGGAGTTTGAGGGAGCGAGCTACCTACCAAGGCCTGGGAGAGATGGCTCCTAGCCTTGGAGCCAGTCTGATCTAGGACACAAAGCAGCACAGCAGCAGGGATAGGGCTCTGCCTCAGGCACAGAAGTGGCCTGATACAGGATTATACTACATGACCCTTAGCCTAGGAAAAGAGCCTGGGAGGACCCTGAGGATTTGGCTGGAGTGAGAAGGTACAGCAGGTTTCATGTTTCTGCTCATCAGAAGCCCACCTGAAGTCACTGGCCACTCACAGCCAAAGAGATCTCACTTCCCTGCTGTAAAGGTGCCTGGGGTCACCAAAATATTGCCCACCTTGGTCTTTCTGGTAAACATGGGGCTTCTTGTCCTTCTTTGCTCTTCCTGTAGCACATGAGAAGGTTTGGCTACCTCTGAAGGACACGGAGGAACCTTGAGATGTGGAGGGTGAGGATGGGAACACTGCCAGCCTAGCCCAGAAGCCAAGGTCACTGAGGTGCTCTGGAAAAACACTGTCAACTGTCTTGGAGTCCAGTCCACTCACACGGCAGGACAACCAGCTGGCACCCAGATCTTCAGGGCTGAGCAGACAATGTCTTGGTGGCTATCTCAGGGGCTGCTTGAGTTCAAACAGGCCAGTTCCCCCCTTGACAACTTTCCCCACCACAAGGCAGGCTGAAGGGGACCTCAGTTCATCGTGGGATCCTGTAAGAGACACAAGGGCCTATGTCAGGGGGTGGAGGGAGGAGTGGTGTGATGGCCCTGCAAGGGAGGCTCTGGAACTAGTCCTGAGTCCTTGAGGCTGATACTAGATACTGCAATGTGATGTCTTCATTTGGAACTGGGGAAGCCCCCACCTCCCCCTTTCTTCCTTCAGAGTGCAGAGGCTACTTTCCCATCTTCTGCCAAGATCTCACCAGCATCAAGATGCTGTGAATAGTGCCCTGTGGGCTGGGCTATTTGCCCAGGGCAGACTCAGGAGAGGGTAAGCCTGGCACCTGTCCCACACTGACCCATCATGGTGGCCTGCTTCAGAAACTGGAAGCTGGTTTCAAACGTCATCTGCTGCAGAGGGGAGGAGCTGGACCGGATCCCGAAGCGATTCAGTGGCTTGTAAACACCCTCAAAACACATATAATCAGCAACCAAGGAGAGATGGCGAGGATCGACTGCAATGCCTGCCACAGAGGTCATAACATCAGTGACAAGGAAGGGGATAAGCTGGGAGTGTCACCTGACATGAGCCAGGGTACCTCCAAGTTAGTGCCTGCCTCAGGTTCCAAACCCTGAAGCTGTTCTCAGTACTATTCTGTCCTCATCCAGCACTGTGACCCATGTCTTGCCTGTGGACCTCCCTTGTCCCCTGCATACTGCCTCCCACTCCCATCTAGCAGCACAGGAAGTGAGTTCTTGCCTTGCTGTTTTCACTGGGGATTTGGAACCCTGAAGGCAAAAATGGGGCCAAGTCATCAAAGGGGAGCTTCTTTTTTTTTTTGGTTGTGGGGCTTGAACTCTGGGCCTCAGCTCTTCAGCTCAAGGCGAGCGCTCTACCACTTGAGCTATAGCGCCACTTCCGGTTTTCTAGTGGTTTATTGGAGATAAGAGTTTCACGGACTTTCCTGCCCGGGCTGGCTTTGAACCACGATCCTCAGATCTCAGCCTCCTGGGTAGTTAGGATTACAGGCGTGAGCCCAATGCCTGGCTTCAAAGGGGAGCTTCTTGGAAAAGACCAGCAGCCATGGAGATGGGGCTGTTACCCACCACGTTTCCTCTTAGGGGCTTTCAGAGACTCCAGTCTCCTGCAGACACACTCAATTGTACCTGTGTTTGGCTTCCTGCCTCAATGCAAGGCCCACACCAGCCACACTGCTGGTGGTGCTTCTCTTACCATACACGGCAAACACATCCTTGATCTCCTTCTCGATAACCCGCAGTGCTGCCTCGATGCCATAAGTGTTAGCCATGGCATGGATGTCATTGGAGTAGAGGCGGCGCAGGTCCAGCACCTGAGCAGGGACAGAGGACTGACTTCAGAGCTTAAGGCTCTCACCATCAACACATATATCTCCCACCCACTACTCTCTGCCTGTGCCTGCAGCTGAGAATAGCTAATGACCAAGTGTGGAAAGGTGGCCAGGACTAGGGAGAGGGGAAACTACTGGCAAAGAGCTAGCAGCAAACCCTCGGGTCTCTTTTGCTGCCACCAGATACTAGAAGTAACTCAGATTCACTAAATAGAAAGTAATTTCTTGTTATTCTTTGTTTAAGCCTGCTTACTTGTAGTACTGGGGGTAGAACCCAGGGCCCTGAATAGGCCTGCCAGGCACTGTACCACTAAGCTACATCCACAACCCTCATTATTTCTTTATAATAATATAGAGAATATAATTTTATTATTCTTGTAATGGAGTAACCTGTTTTACTAGGATGGAGACTCTCTTGGGAAGTTGAGAGCGCACCCTCAGCAGTGATCCTCAAATACTTCTGCAGGGCCCACAGGGCAGAGGGCAGAGAACAGAGACAGGTTTTTTCCTATGGGGGTTTGTGAGGCCTCATCAGAGGCCATGGTTTGGGAGCTCTGCACTATGGCTGGAGGGGACATTTTTCTGGCCACAGCCATGTTCCACAGGAGACAAGTGAAGACAGGCAGCCTGCCTGGCACATGTTATTGAGAATTCATGAGAGTACAACCTATGCCATGCTCTATGGAGATAGGAGGCTAGCACTCAGGAAGGGTGGGCTCGTTCCTGCTCATGTGCCTAAGGAAGATCTTGGTAAGAGGCTTGGGCAGTTAAGGGTAGGGACACAAGTGTGCAAGGCTAGGGGAGAATAGGTCAGAGGGTCCCAAGTTCCTGAGTGTTCTGTGGGGAAACCCTTGTGCTTGAGCACTGAGAACCTCAGAGGAAAGACCAGATGCCCTGGTGAGCAGGAGAGACAGGAACACAGTGTCTCAGCAACACTGGGTTGGGGCTAGGGTCTCCTTTACCAGACAGTGAGCAGCATCCAGGCCAGCAATGTGGCAAACCATTTCTTACAACTCTATACTAGGAAGGTCTTCATTTCAAGGTTAAAAATTATATTCAAATGTGTCTATGACACTCTGGGTTAAAGTTCAGCAGGCTTTTATACTGGAAGTCTAAACAAGACTAATAGACATTATGCAAGGGGGCAAACACTTGGTTTAGAGCATGGAAGGTTCAGGAAGAGCTAGTGTCCATCAGCTGCTGGAGGCTCAGCTTCTAGGGGTTGTGTCCAGAGATAATGGGAGGTCAGGCCAGCAGACATGCTAGAGAATGACACGCACCTCAGCGTATTTGAACAGCTCTGGGAGGTTGATTCCTTCTGTGTTCAGCACAAGCTCCTTCTCATTCTCACTGTTAGTTGTTTCATTCAGGAGGCACCGAGTGATGCCCTTGGTTGTGTAAACAATGGCACTGTGGGCCAAGGACACCACCAGGGAGCTCATGTCAAAGTTAATCTTCATCAGAGGGAGCTTCATCGTCACCTAGCAGAGGAGAGAAGATGCTATTTCCAGCCCTGTGAACAGGACAGGGGTCTTCTGGCTGAGACCCAGGAATACCTTCAAAGCCCCTTCATTAAGTAACACCCTGGCTGGAGGAAGGGGACCCTGTTGTGTGAGCTGGCAGGGTGACCTGAACACAACTAACACCCTGGCTGGAGGAAGGGGACCCTGTTGTGTGAGCTGGCAGGGTGACCTGAACATTGGTGGCTTCACAACCACAACATGGTCCTACTGTCCTTTCACAGTCAAAAAACCCACAGTACTTGTTTTCTTTGCCTGGGATTCTGTCAGTGAGTCCTGTTACCTATATTACCATATGGGACCACCAAATTGATCCAAGGAAGACAAAGGCTAATTCTCTGTAATGTCAAGGCATCTGAACCATTCCTTAAGGGAACCATGCAATCTCCAAAATGGTGACAAGGGGATGTGTGGGAGGAGGGGGGCGGGGTTCCTACTTGGTGATGGAACAAAGCTTCCATCACTACTATTTGGAAAGTACCTATAAGGCTTGGAAAATGAAGATTCAGAGGGGGCTTAAGGGCGATATGTGTAGATTGTGCTTTGGGGAAGAGGGTCTATAGCCAAACAGATTCTGAAAAGGACATGGTATTAAAACAAGAACAGCCAGCTGGGTGCCAGTGGCTCATGCCTACAATCCTAGCTACTCAAGACGCTATGATCTGAGGATTGCAGTTCAAAGCCAGTCCAGGTAGCAAAGTCCATGAGACTCTTCATCTCCAATTAATCACCAAAAAGGTGGCAATGGAGCTAGGCTCAAGTGGTAGAGTGCTAGCCTTGAACAGTCAAGCTCAAGGCCAACACCTAGGCCCTGAATTCAAGCCCCAGGACTCTGTGTGTGTGTGTGTGTGTGTGCGCGCATGGGCACACACACACACATGCGCACGCGCACACACACACATGCACGCGCGCACGCACATATACAAAGAACAGCCACTTTCAGAGGCCTGCACGTGGGAAAAGCAGGCATGGGAGCATGGTGGCCCCACTTCCCAGCAGTCTGGGAGCTCTATAGCAGGCCCCTACCAAGGACTAACCCCTTGGACCTGGAGGGGTGGCCACTGACCTGGCACCACAGTCCTTCTTTGGTGTCATACTGGTAGTCTTCAATGAATGAATGGGCCTCACGCACAGCCTGGACCCGGCGCTGCACAGCCTCAGCTCCCTGGGGTCCCCGGTGGTGGCGGGGAGGTTTCTGGGGCAAGTCTTCTTCCAGGCCTGAGCCCACTTCCTCATCTGAACCATGGGCCTGAAGGGCACCACCTTCACCATGGATGTTCCCTTCTTCTGGTGTTTCCTCCTCCTCCTCCTCCTCTTCCTTCTCTTCCTCTTCCTCGCTCTCATAATCCACCTGGCAGGAAATGGAGTTCAGGCTGTCACTCAGGGCTCTGCCATCACCTGGACATTGTCTGTGGAACAAGTGCCCCTGCAAAGGCTGTGTCTGGCCTGGTCCCCACACTCCTGGCTTCTCTGCGCTGGCCTTCCTATTTCCAGCCTCTCACCTGAGATTGCCACCTTCTCTCCTGGGGCCCTTTGGAGGAGGAGTTTACCCTCCACTTTCCTGACTCACCCACTTAGCCTGTGAATTCCCTCCATCTCTCTAACTTCTCTTCTTCCTTGTAGAGATTATGAGAGTAAGGGACTGGTTTGGATATCACATAAAGCACATCACATTTTCATGACAGAAACAGGAGGCGGCTTGACATCTGGAAACTTGAACCTGATTCATATTCAAGGTTAGCCAGATATGAAGGGCAGCCCTGGCTTCAGATTTCTGGTGGGTCCCAGGAGGCACAGAGGGGCAGCTTGTGTTAAGGGAGAACCCCTCAGGCATGGTCACAACCCCTTCACCTCCAACTGAGTCCCCCTCACCTCTTCCTCTTGCTTCTCCTTGCGTTTAGTGTCAGAGGCATCAGTATCCCCCTCATCAGCCTCAGCATCCACAATGTTCCCCTCTTCTTCCTCATCACCTTCCTGTTCTCCCTGTGGTTTGAGGATAAAAACAAAATGATTAGTCCTAATATTTAGTGCTTGGTGAATCCATTTGCCTACCCACCAACTTATCCATCCCATCCATCCATCCATCCATCCATCCATCCATCCATCCATCCATCCATCCACCCACCCACCCACTTACTCGCCAACCCCTCTTCTTACCCATCTAGCCATCATTACCTCACCTACCATCATCTACCAAACTGCCCATCTTCTTAGCCTTCCATCAATCATCTATCTACCTCCTACCTACCCAGGATCTACTCATCTTAGCCCTGGAAGCTAGGCCTTTTTTCAAAACTTCAGTCTTCACTCTTACACATACCACTTACACAGTATCTCATGTTTAAACCTTAAAAAGGGGAAGGGCAAAGGGGAAAGGGCTCTGGGGCTGAGGATATAGTTCAGTGGTAGAGTAATTGCTTAGCATGTGCAAAGACCTTGGATTTGATCCCCAGCACAACTGAAAGAAAGAAAAAGTGCTACCACTCACCGTCATTAAAAAAAAAAGATGGTAAAAAAAATAGTGTTCCAAATATTTTTAATCAGTCCCATTGCAAGTAGCAATGAAGAAGGGCTATTTTGGTAGAATACTAAATATTTTAAAAATCAGTAAAACCTTCTTCCTCCTGACCTTGACTCCTCTCCTTTTGAGTGAACTAAGATCAAGACTAATTTTCAAAGATAAACGTGGTCAAGGCCAATCATTCTCTTAGTAAAGAGGAGACATCCAGAGAGAAGTAACCACATAGGCAGATAGAATATCAATCTGTGCCCTACCTCAGCAGGCTTACATTGGCCCTATAAAGTGCTGGTCCCTGGTAAGAGACCTGCCATATTGGTCCTCAGGTCTGGCTGGCCTGCTCTGATGTCAGAAGAGGAATTGCTATTCCAAGACTCCTTTGCCAGTGGTGATTTTCTGCTCCTTCCTTTTTCATATTGAGTTTCAAATTCTCTGGTGTTGGGTTTTGGGGGGATTTTTTTGACACTGGTCCTGAGCTTGAACTCATAGCTAGCTTTATACACTTATGCCACACTTCTATTTCCTGCTTTTTTTGGTGGCTAATTGGAGATAAAGAGTCTTACAGACTTTTCTGCCCAGGCTGGCTTCAAATTAGATTTCAGCCTTTTTTTTTTTTTGGGCCAGTCCTAGGGCTTGAACTCAGGGCCTGGGCACTATCCTTGAGCTTCTTTTTGCTCAAGGGCTAGCACTCTACCACTTGAGCCATAGTGCCACTTCTGGCTTTTCTGTTTATGTGGTACTGAGGAATCGAACCCAGGGCTTCATGCATGCTAGACAAGCACTCTATTAGCCACATTCCCAGTCCTCAGACTTCTTAATAGCTAAGATTACAGGCTTGAGTCACTAGCAAGCAACTTCTCTTTTTTAAAATAGCTGTTTGGTCCCTGCCAGTGTTCTGATGGGCCCCAGAACAAATCAAATGCAATAATCAAATGCAAAACAAAATAAAGTCACAAACAGAAGCTTCAAAGACTCCACATACTATTAGGCAAGGCCCAACTGTTCGGATGAAAGCCTTTTACAGAGGAGTCTTTAAGAGCACAAATGGATGTCCTGAGGTTTATCTGGGCCATTGGTGTCTGGCAGCCTCCTTGGCCTTGCTCATCAGATTTAAAAAAAACATGTGGTGCTAGGCACTGGTGGCTCATAACCTGTAATCCTAGCTACTCAGGAGACTGAGATCTGAGGATCGCTGCTTAAAGCCAACCTAGACTCTTTTTTCCAGCTAACTGCCAGAAAACTGTAAGTGGAGCGGTGGATCAAAGTGGTAGAGCACTAGCCTTGAGTGAAAAACTCAGGGACAGTGCCTGAGTTCAAGCCCCATGACTGACAAAAATAAACAACAAAACATGTGGTTTGTTAGCTCTCTAAGAGTAGCAGATAAATGCTGAATAGGTAAGTGGAAAGATGAGCTGACACTACAGAACTTACAGAGCACTAAGAATAGCCATGAGGCCTTTCAATACAAAGACTACATACATCCTACATAGTTCCAGGCCTGGGACCATCTCTGTGCAGCCCCTCAGAGGCCTTCAGGACTCACTCACCCGAGCCCTCCCTGACTCCTCAGCATTATCAAGATCCTTCTGTGTAGCTCTTCGTGTGTTCACACTTCTGAAGGTCGATTCTTTACTACTCTTCTTTCTGATGCACTCCATCAGGAGTTTAAAGAATCTGAGAGAGAAGAAACCCGCAAGCCCCCATCAGTATCCATGGGTCGTGTCCTCTGCTCCCTGAGGGCCAGATGCTGAGGGATTCCTACAAGAGATTAATACTCAGGACAGAGGCCATCTTCTCCTATACACTTGCTTCCCTCTCACTTCTGAGTGGCATTTGTTACATCAGAAAGAGCAGCCTCATAGACTGACAGTCCTGGCCTAGATCTCTATTGTCCCTCCTAGAGCATGTGGGTCTGAACATGATTAACAACTTCCTGAGTGTTAACTCACTCATCTGGAAAACCTGAGTATTCATATGTTTTATATAATTCTGTTTTAAGGATCAAAATGACCCTATATCTGATACCTTTCCCAGGGAGTGGCAAAGTATGTGTTAAGTGAGTGTCAGTTGTTGGTGGTCTCTAACCAGGACGGCAGATTCAACTGTAAGGAGAAAGGTATCCAACCTGGGTCCAAGACTTTCTCTACCTGTCAACTATAGTATTTCCTGAAAATGGTGCTGCCTCTGTCCTGGGTGTGGGAACCCTGACAATTAGATGAAGGAATGAAGACTGAAAAAACTTTTATTAGAGTATCAAAAGGCAGCAATAACTAACTTTTACCAATGAATACTGTCAACAGATTAGAACCAAATCAATTTCAAAGAACACATTTGACCATCAGAACATGGGGATCCATCCTTGGCCCCTTCTTTCCCAATTGCCAATTTTTAAAAGTCCCTTGGGGCTTCACCCTGCCCTCTCCCTATTACAAGATAACCTTTTGCTTCTTTTTCATCCGGTTGTAAGTGCACACCAAACTAGAAAGTACTGGAACCTTGGAGAGCCCTCCCACGCTCCCTCCAATTATCTGGTGTTCTCTGAAGCTTCCCCTGTATCCTTCCTGGGCTAACCCTGGGGCAGTACAGGGTTGAGGCTCCTCACTCCAAAGAGTTTAGTTTGAATTTGAAGAGAGGCAGATCAAACGTTTACTATTTTGCAGTAAACAAGAATAGCATCTTCCCTCCCTGTTTTTAGATTTTTAAACAGGCACATAGTTTTGTTGAGTTTTGGTATTTGTCAGAAAAATGAGGCCCAGTGGCAACTGAGAGGCTATCCAGACTCTAGACACAAGAGGAAGCAAGTCATGGCTTTAGAAAGAACTGAGAAGAGAGGGATGGGAAAATGGTTTTGAAAGGACAGACTCAAGTTCACATTCATGTCCCCATTGTGTCCAAGCAGAGATGAAGCCCTTGATCTTGTCCATAATGTGGGACTGCTCTCACCTTGCTCACAGGTATTACAAAGAAGAGGAGGAGTGGGGTACTTCCCTCTGCTGGGGTTACTGCTTTTCTCCTCAGGTCCCATGTGTGGTCTGTGTCGATGTGTGGCAACAACTCATCTCTGAGGCCCCACCCAGACATTCCCAACTGCCCTCAGCCTCACTGGCTGCCTCCTCCCATCCCCAATCATCCTCTGGGCTTTGTTCTAGCCTGCTCTGCCAGAGACTTTCCCAGTCCCTCTGCCTGCTAGTGCTGTACCTATCCTTCAAGGCTGGGTCAAAATGCAGATGCAATTTCTCCACAAGGACTCCTATGATCCCCAGCCAGAACCCTGTCTACCTTGCCCACATCTTTTGGTGACTAGGACTGATGAGAATTGGGAGAGGGTACAATGAAAGAGCTGATCAGCAGTATGCGAGTGTTTCTGAGGTGCAGCCAGTGTGTCCTTCTGTGACCTTGCTAAGAGTAAGGGAGATGATAGCCCTCAGTGAATACTTCCTGAAGGCTGTGCTATTTGTCAGTGTGTGCCAACTGAAGGGAACAGGAGTAGTTGGCAGAGGGACCTCCCCTCCCACATAAATAATTACAAGCTGGGAAGATGACTCTTGGCTGTTTCTGAAAGTGTTAGGCAATATCCTCACCATTTGCTGCTTGTAGAGTCAGATTCACAGACATTCTAACTACAGAGACAGCCATGGGGTCGGTCTCAGGCCAAGACTGGAAGCCAAAACCTACCCTTCTCCCGTTGCTTCTACTCAGTGCTCTTTCAACTTACCAGCCCAGCCCATCTTATAGATAACACAAAAATATTCAAAGTGATCGGTGCCAGAATAGCCATCGGGGACTGTCCTGCCTATGGACACCTCCATCTGGCTCCTCTGTCCTATTTTTCTCTCTAATTTATGGGACTCAAAAGTCTCTCCATGACTGGGAGAGAAGAAAGGGAAGAAGGTAGCAAAAAGAGGAGGGAGAGGGAAAGGGGATAAAGGAAAAACCGCTTTAGGGGGAGAGTGGCTTTTCTGTAAGCACATTCCCAACCCCCTTCCATTTCCTTTGAGCCCTGAGGTCTTAAAGTGGTTACTGCCAAGCTTGATAAAGGGACTCCAAACCCACAGCCTAGTTCAGTCTGCTCTGGCATTCATCTTGTCTGAGTACTCAGAGTCCTGCTGCTGAAGTCACTAAGACTATCCCTACCGGAAATGACTGCACATGCCTTGTTTATTACAGCTTTTCAAGTGTATAAACATAACACAACTAGGATGAAAAACTACTTCACTGTTGGCAACAAGCCAGGGCTGTCATTTATCAGGAAGAAAGTTGAAAAAGTCATTTACTATTTTCAGTTCCATGAGGTAATGTCAGTAAATGAACTCTAACCACAGCCTGGCATATCTTTGTGGCAACCTAGCTGCTGTGGAGTCTCAGGTGAAGAGAAACGGGCCAGGCTGTAGACTCCATCCACTCTCCATCATTCTCAAGAGGTAATGTGATCCTAAGTCCCACTTCTCAGAAGAGGGCTTCCAGGCCAGCACAAACATCTGTTGCACTTGCTCCTCTCTGTTAATTAACGAGCTGGCAGGATGGAGCCCTCATGACTGTCACTGTGCCCAGTGTTCCAGAACATGTGGAGCACCTGACCTGGGTAGGTGCTGATGCATGTCCTCCCCAAGACCCAACTAGCAACAAGCTTAGAGCTTTTATCATCTGAAGTAGGATCCACCTAGGGAATGGCCTGAAGGGCTTAATTTGGATCCAAACTCTTCTACCCTGATACTCAACATCTTATAGGCCATGTGCGTAGAGGATTGGCCTGCAGCCAGACCTTACTTATGGGGCAGGGAAATAAAGAATCAGGTCTTGGCCTCACTCCTGTTCTCACTTGCCCCAGTGACCAACTTTGGTGGCTTGTGCAGCTGTGAGATGATTGAAGGAAGAGAAACTTTCTTTTCTGCTCTGCTACCAATTCTCCATATCTGAGCAGCTCTGGGAAGACCCAGATGGTCTAGATTATAGGCAGTGGTCAATGGCTCCAGGTCCAATCTTCACTATAGATATGGTTTCTCTTGTCTACTGGGCTTTAAAAAGGATATGAATTAGTTACAGTTCCTCTTAAAAAAGCAAAAGTAGAATCTGGCATCATGGCTCGTACCTGTAAAACTAGCTACTCAGGAGGTTGAGATCTGAAAATTGCAGGAAGCCAGCCTGCAGAGAAGTCTGTGACACTCTCATCTCTAATTTACTGCCACAAAAGCCAGAAATGGAGCTATGGCTCAAGTGGTACACTGCTAGCTAGCCTTGAGCACAAAAAGCTCAGGGATGCCAGGGCTTTGAGTTCAAGCCCCAGGGTTGGAAAAAAGAAAAAAAAACATGAAAGCAGGCAACCAGAGAAGGAAAGAAAGAAAGAAAGAAAGAAAGAAAGAAAGAAAGAAAGGAAGGAAGGAAGGAAGGAAGGAAGGAAGGAAGGAAGGAAGGAAGGAAGGAAGGAAGGAAGGAAGGAAGGAAGGAAGAAGGGAGGGAGGGAGGGAGGGAGGGAGGGAGGGAGGGAGGGAAGGAGAGAAAAAAGGAAGGAAGAGAAAAAGGAAAAAAGAAGGCAGACTTTGTTTTAAATCAGAAGATCTAGCCACTGTGGCTCACATCTATGCATGGAGTAACCAATTCCTTGAGATAGGTTCCACAGGCTTCAAGTCTGCCAGTCCACTTCACTGGACTCTGCTATCTCCTGCATTCTGCAGCCTTTGGAGTTTGCTACTATTAGGGTCAGTGTTGAGTCAGAAGTGCTTTTGTGGTTCTTTTCTGCTTGCTCCAGTCATAAAGAGTCCACCCTCCTAACTCTGTGCAATCAGCATTATAGACTGCACTTTTCAAATGCCTTAGAGTAGTTTAAACTTGAGAGAAAAATAAAGTTCACCAGATAGAAATGCCTTTGTAAGAAGCTACAAGCAACCTCAAGTTATTAAACCAGGGTTTAAAAGCAGTATGACACTGTTCATTACTGACAAACTGTAAACGTAACAGGAACCTCATTATGCTGCCTGGAATTATATCCCATTACTAACTCCATGTGCTGGGCTGACATCAGAGGCACCACTGTGGTGGGACTTCCTTCTCTCTGTTGTAAACATACTTTCACATCTTCACACTACATGCTCAAGAGGATGACTTCTTGAGCCATCAACCCAAGGTAATGTGTCGTTAACTAATTCACACTTACAAGCCAGATCAGGGTGAGGTTTGTGGATTAGGCTGTAGGGTCTGCAGTTCCTACGCACTTCTTTTACAGAGCTTGCTGGGAAAATGTGCATCATCTCCTGGAAGCCTGTGGCCAGGAGTAATCTATGGGCCATAATCATCAACAAATATGGCCCGAATTCTGACCTCGTTTCCATGAAATGCAGGATGTCCTCAGGTCTCAGGCACTTCTCCTGTTGGTAATAGGCATGCGGCAGGAACTCAAACCTCAGCTCATACACCCGGAATTTGTTCTGTTTTTCCCCCATGCAGAAGGACTCCTGGACATCAACTTTCTGCAACACCTAGAATGAGAAGAGCAAAGAACCTGACTTGTCCATGTCCCAGGAGATTGCGCTGCAAGTGGACTGTGGGAAATCAAGGGTTTGAAAGGACAGCAGCTAGGGCCACAGGGTAAAATCCCAACCCTAGTGAGATCTGCCTACATGAGTCCTTGGAGAAACAGGGTGGAGGCCCACAGCTTAGAAGCCATCACCAGAGTATCATAAACCTGGGAGGAGTAGGAGCCTCCCTGTGTCTCCCTAAAAACAATGCTGGTAAGCCAACCCAAGAAGCATTCTTACTATACTTGTTAGGCACATGAAAATGCTGCAGAACTAATGGTTATCTTAAAAGGCCCTTGATCCATCCCTTAGCCTCTCTCTCCCTAGTAGGAAGGGTCTGAGCAGTCAAAAGTCTGCTCTATAGATGGGAGGACAGAGCATCCTGCCTCTACCCAGTGTGCTACCCAAGCCCAAGAGATACTTACCTCCCCTAGGCACACCCTGGTGAGCTGCTTCTTCAGGCTCTTCACTCTCTTCAGGGCTTTCTTGGTGTTGAAGACGGGGACACTCATCATGGGTGTCTTGATGTTGGCACTAGCCACCATGAGAATCTCCCTTAACCTATCACAGAATAAGGGCACATCATTGTAAGAGGTAATCAGATTAGGGAATCTGTTCATCTGAAGCCTCTTCTAAATATGAGTTTTTCTGGGATGTAAAAACCCTTGGGATCTCACAAGGGAAGGTTAGGAATCAGCTCTGCCCCATGGGACATAGAGAGATTTTCCTTCTCTGACTTCTCCCTGGAGCGCTGGCTCATGGATTCTTGCTTCCTAAGAAGGAAACAATAACCAGGAAAGCAAGTCAAATCTGCACTGTGGCGTTCCTTCTATGCTCTACCCATAAACTCAGCCAGCTCACGGTGGGCCTGACCTCTTGTAGTCCACAGGAGGGTACCCCACAGTTGAGAAGTCAACAAGGCTGCCCAGAATCTAATTGCCAGAAAGTGGCACATCACAGACTGATTATCAATGGATCCGAGTCTATACTCTTTTCCCCAGCAATTACACTGCAGCATGCATCCATGTACTTAAAGGGTCACAGCCATAGGAATGGCACCCCTGGAGCTGAGTAACCAGATGGCCTTCATTGGGATGTTGGGGATTTTTAACAATGCAATCTATAAGTATCCCTGGTAACTCTAATACAGGAGTTACCAAAGGAACAAACAGAAATCTTAAAAGGCCTAAGCATTGATCTGGTCACAGAAACTAGTTAGAGTCTGGAAATTCCAACCCAAATAAGCACTTTGATGAGCCCTAATCTAACTCACACTTGCTCCCTTCTTGCCCCCCATCAAACGACTCCTTTCCTGAGAGAACTAGGGCAGATCTCATCCATTTACCCTGCTAACCTCGCACCTTGGAATACCCAGGGTGACGTTCATCTCGCCTCTGCCTGCGAAGTGGAAGGTGTTCAGAGTCATCTGTGTGGAGGGCTCCCCAATGCTCTGGGCAGCCAGCAGTCCCACAGCCTCGCCTGGGTCACACAGTGAGCGCTGCCATTTTAGCTGCAGCAAGGTTCTCAGCCTGGAGAGAGTAGGGGGCAGTGGGAGGTCAGGAGGAGGTAGGTGACTTCCACCAAGTCACCTGAAACCAGAAACCCAAACCCTCCCTCCTACCTCTTCCCAGACTGGCTTCTAGGCAAAAAAGATTCCTGCAAGTCACCTGCAATGCCCTACAACTACCCAGTAAACCTCTTAGCCGGTGGTAAAGCACTAACCATCCTTGCTCAGACTGTCTGTGTTGGCAGCAAAAATGTCGTATGTCCACATTGGGCCACTTATTACAGGATCCTGAGCAATAAATTTCTGGGATCATTTCCATTTTCCTTTGTCCTTCTGCCTCCAAACTAGTTTTGACAGTTTGGAGTCTACAACTCCTGCTGTATGAACTGAGAAAGAAGTTCGGGTTCACTAAGCAATGGTACAATCTTATTTTCTTTATTACTATAAGTGGATGTAGAGCTCATCAGAACTATCTATGAAAGTCAAATTGAGTATGGTAGAGTACTCTGCAGACTGAGGTTGGAAAATCTGTGAGTTCGAGGCTAGCCTGGGCAACCTAGCAAGATCCTGTCTTGAAATAACAAAAACAAAAACTTAATAACAAAAAACCAAAATTAAACAAATATAATAAGAAACCCAAACCCAAGCAAAACAAAACATTAAGCATTCACTTTGTACACTTCTGGAATGTACTAACCATCCTTCCTATAACAGCTAGCCCTTTACAAACTCTGTATTACAAGGAATGACCATGTGCAGTGAAGGGCAGTGGCTCAGTAGAGAGAAGTAATAAAGCTACATTTCCATGTGAGTTCGTGTAGGGTCTGCTATGGCAAATGCAGCCTCCTAGGCTGCAGGGATTTAGGTGGGAGTTGGAGAGCTTTGAATTTTTCTCTTTTAGGGGAAGCCCAGCTGGCAGCCTGGACAACTTAGCTGGGAATCTCCAAGGCCTGACTATGCTAAAGGGAATGAGAGAATCCTGGATTTCCTTCCAGTTCCTCCACTCAGTCAAGTGTCTTTGCTCATTTGTGTACTGCTCCTCAGTATCCAGCTGTCAGTCTTACTCCTGAACCCTCTGTCAGCCAGTCCCTACACCTCATCTGCTATCACAGGGGTAGGACTGAGGGAAATGACCTCAGGTCTGGCACTGCACTCTTGCAAAGCTTAGGACCAAAGCAGAGCAGGCATCCCTGGGCCCTTGTGATAGTCTGACCCTCTGTGCAAGTTTGCATCATGCCTGGCTTCCTGCCTACCTAGACCAAAGGCTTCATTCCTATTATTATTTGTGTATTTATGTATTTGTGTGTGTGTGTGTATGTGTACTTGTCCATGCTGAGGTTTCCACATAGACCTTCTTCCTTCAACCTGGAAACTCAAACTCAAAAGTATCAGTGGAGTCACTGGATCAGCTGAGATGCAGTGTCCTGGGACAGTGAGTGACCTGTCTGAGTCAGAGTTGGCAGATACTAAATGGTGACCAGACTGGTTCTTTTACTCATAGCCATGTCCACTATACCAAACTCTGTCTAACTGTTCTCATCTGCCTCAGTATCCATTAAAAGCTTCCTACTGTCTCAGATCCCGCCCTCCTGCTGGAGTCTCAACTCTGGAGGCAGCCCTTTTCTTCTCGAGTGGGCTGGCTGAGACTGAGAGGATTCCCTCCACACATGCCATGCTACAAATTAGTGTTTCACCTGTCGAGAGAAAGCTCTGATTTCATGTAATTCTTCTCTGCTTGAGCTGCCCTTTCTTGACTGTAGTCATCCATCTTTTTTTCAAATGTTTCTGAGACAGATGCAAAGTAGATGTCCGGGCGCCACACAGACAGACTGGGGTCAGGACAAGAGGCTGCTTTCTTCTGGTATTTCCACCGGCTCTGTTCATCCAACTCATACCACATCTGTAACATCTGAATGGAGAGAAAGATGGGTTTCAGCTACATGGGAAGCTAACTAAAAGGAATAGGGCTGTCCTCTTGGGAAAACCAGTGGCATGAGGAGGCTCAAAAGCATTGGTTTAGATAAGAGCAGGCAGAACACTAAGAGAGAAAGAAACCTGACTCCACAAGGTAAAAAATAACACAACAATGTAAACAGGGAAAGGGAAGCTGTTGACCACGATTGTCAGTCCTCGTCCTGGCCCATCTAAGTGCAGGTAGAGGGGCTACATAATTTACTACAGATCCAAGTGGGATTGTTCTGGAGTCAAATGGAAAAGTGTAATGATTATGTTAGGATACTGTCACTAGGAGTGAAGTGACCATGTTGGATCCCTGTTAACCTCAGATCCAGTCTCTTCACACATATTGTATCCAAAGTGAATGATTTTTAAAAGAACCTCTGTTTCTGGCTTATACTAGCATCAGAGGCAACTTCTCTCTAATAGGATCTCTACTCATGGTTCTACCTATAATTACACACCCTCTCCAAGTCTAGTTACTACTCTCCCTGATCCTTCATACAAAGGTTGATAATGAACTCTGAAGTCATCAGCTGATTGGTCCCAAGCCCTATCCACATCATTGTAAAAGAGTCCCCTTCTTATAATCTTACTTAAGCACCACTGGTGTCCTGACTGATTTCAACACAATACCCTGTATTAGGGAACAATTCCATATCTTTCAAACCATTCCCAAGGCTTGGACATGCCAGAGAATAGGGATATCATCTCCCTTTATCACCTGTTGAGTTTCTGGGCTGCGGCCATTCTGGTTCTTGCCCTCGAGGTTCAAGGCTTTCACAGCTGCCTGCATCTTCTGGGAGTAATTCAGGAAGGCACCTTTTCTTAGCTGGGCAGTGGAATGCTTGCTGTGCCATTTTTTAATGGCTCTGAAGTGACGGAGAGCTTTCTGAGGATCTGCTCTGGACAAAACTTCATGGAGATGCTTTGATTTCATTATCACCTAAACAAACCATGCACATACAAGATGAGAGATGGGGTGTAGCAGACAACACATGCTTCATAGGACCTAGATGTCTTTATAATACATCTCAAAAACTGAGTATTGGTGATCCAAGCCCTTGCTGTACGGATCAGATGTAGGAGCTGGTGGTCTTAGGGGATAAAGGCACACTCAGAACCCCTCTAGGAATAGAAAGGAGATTTAGAAAGAAAGAAGAGGCCAAAGAAGGTGGCCAAAGACCAAGGACAAGCTCCAGAAGGGAAAGAACTGAGAACCAGAGCATGACTTTCAATTCTACCATCAGCTCCATCATCTTGGACAGGTCACAGACAGTTTCATTTTCCTACTGTAACACAGGGTGATTGAAAGTTCAGACAATGGAGATTGTCATTACAAAGCCACAAGGCAGCAAGAACATCATAAATATGTATCAGGTGATCTGGGTTCAAATGCTGGCAATGCTGTTTTCACCAACTGGTTATGTCAGCTGCATATTTAGCTCCTTCAGCTGTAAAAACAGCAGGCCACTTCCCCCAGAGTGTTACTTCCTCCCACAGTTGTGGTGAGGATAAACCCAGCACTCAGCACTGGTAACTTTCAGTTAGAAACCAAATGTAGCAATTGCCCCTAAATAGAAACTGTTACTCCAGAAATGCTCAAGCCCCATTATCACTTCAACTGATCAGGCCTCTGGCTTGTGGCTCTGAAAATTTTCAAGTGTGTCAAGACACTGGTGGGTGCTTTACAAACCTTTCCACTCAACTTTCTCACAGCTGCACAGATTGGGTGGCTTCAGTTCAGGGTACTCTCAGAATTCTGGTTGGGATAGAGGACTGATGCACGAACAGAGATTGGTAATATACCTCATAGTTGCTGGCCAGGAAGGGAAACTGCTTGGGCTGCAAGAACTGCGTCTTGGGGATATCCAGGCCATCTTCCCCATATAGGAACTGCACCACGCTGCCATCGCTGTCACGGACTGTCAGATCATACTGGACAACCAGGCCTTCCAAGTGCTTGATGATACACCTAATAAGGAGGCCATTGGCTCAGTGACCATCAGGCATACACCTCCAGAAAGGATCTCATGGGGAGGGAGTAGTATAAGGAAAAGAAAAAGGGACTGCTGTTTTGCAGACAAACAAAACTTCAGGACAGGACAGAGCTCTGGTATGCCAGGGTCTGAGCTCCAGCATCCCTTAACCTGGTAGATCTCCAAGAGGAGACTAAGAGCCTGGCTTCTACTCTTGGAGATGGCCTCCCATCTGCCCAGTTGCTGGGTTTACTCCCTGCCCTTTCCCTCTCCTGTACCACATATCATCCTGGGACCAGCATCCTCAGATCCACAAGTAGGCAAGATAGGGAAACTATTAGGATCCCCAAATCCTCCTGTCAGTGTGGTGAGTGTAACAGATACTGAGGGACCCCAAACAGGAACTAAGTGCTGCTGGATGCCAGTAGTTCACACCTGTAATCCTAGCTACTAAGGAAGCTAAGATCTGAGGATTGTAGTTCACAGCCAGCCAGGGCAAGAAAGTCCATGAGACTCTTACCTCCAATTAACTACCAAAAACCCAGAAGTGAAGCTGTGGATTAAGTGATAGAGTGCTAGCCTTAAGCAAAAGCAGCTCAGGGACACCATCTAGGCCTTGAGTTCAAGGCCAAGGACTGGGAAAAAAAGGGAACCAAATGTTAATCTAATGACCTGTGTACTCAGTCCTCCCATTGCCAGCTGTTTCCCTTGACTTCTCTTCCTTTCTGCCCTTGTCCTGGATGTTTTGTTACCTTTCTGGCTACTGCCTCAGTTTCTCTGGTCACCTTAGGAGCCTGGTTCCTTTCCCCTGGTAACGACTCTGAGCTCTAAGGCCACAGCACAGTGTTAGTCACATCTTTCACAGCTCCCAGGGCCTGGTAAGGATGGTAGCATCAGCTGTGTGACTCAAGCCCTGGGAAAGGACAGGAGCTGGCCCTGACTGCAGAGCACTGCCAGCTCTGCAGATAGGATCCGATGGACCACCTAGGTGTTTCTTGATCCTACTCTAGCCCTATCCACCCCAATAACCACAGGAACCACAGGAGAAAACACCAGAACACTGAATGCAGGCGTGGCAAATCTAAGCTTAGAAACAGGACAAAGCTAGAACCAACAGGTAGAATGCTGAGGGGAAGAAATGGAGTGGCATCCCTTCAACCCTGCTCAGTAGTCATCAGAGTTCTTTGAGGATATAACTTAAAAGGCAGGCTCAAGAGGCAAGAGAATGGGGCTGGAAAGGTGGCTCAGTGGTAGAGTGCTTGCCTTGCATGCATGAGACCCTGGGTTCGATTCCTCAGCACCACATAAGCAGAAAAAGCTGGAAGTGGCACTGTGGCTCAAGTGGTAGAGTACTAGACTTGAGCTGAAGAGCTGAGGGACAGTGCCCAGGCCCAGACTTCAGGCCCCATGACTGACCAAAAAAAATAAAAAAAGAGGCAAGGGGATTTACACCATTTCCATCATTTCCCATTATCATTTCTTTTTATGATCATCAGAATTTCCACTTTCTATAAAACATAAAGAATTCCCTAAAAGCTTAAACTCACTCTTAGCATTAATGAACAAAAGGGCAGGCTCACGCAATCGCTGTGTGCTGCTTCCTCCTAGGGTAAACCAAGTTTGAAAAATTGCCACTTCTGGCTTTTTCTGTTTATGTGGTACTGACAAATCAAACCTAGGGCAAGCACTCTACTGCTAAGCCACATTCCCAGCCCCAATAGCTTCTGTTTTCTATCTTGCGCACCCATCAAGATTATTTTTGTGTGTCTGCACTGATCCTAGAGCTAGAACTCAGGGCTTGAGGACTGGCTCTGAGCTTTTTTTTTTTTTCTTGCTCAAGGCTAATGTTCTACCATTTGAGCCACAGCTCAACTTCCAGCTTCTTGGTGGTTAACTGGAGATAAGAGTCTCATGGAAAGCTGGGCACTGGTGGCTATTGCCTATAAACCTAGCTATTCAGGAGGCTGAGATCTGAGGATCGAGGTTCAAAGCCAGCCTGGGCAGGAAAGTCGGTGAGATTCTTATCTCCAATAAACCACTAGAAAACCGGAAGTGGCACTGTGGCTCAAGCGGTAGAGCACTCATCTTGAGCTGAAGAGTGCAGGGACAGCGCCCAAGCCCAGAGTTCAAGCCCCAAGACCAACCAAAAAGAAAAAAAAAGAGTCTCATGGAATCCTACCTGGACTGCCTATAAACTGTGATCCTCAGATCTCAGCCTCCTGAGAAGCTAGGATTACAGGCATGAGCCACCAGTGCCCAGCTCTATCAAGATTTTAAAAACATTTTTTAAAAAGAAATCAACCAAAGACTCCTTAGTAAGAGGTAATATGTGCAGGGCACTAGGATAGCAACCCCATCAAACAGCAGCTCACAGGTGCTTTTACCTTTGGAGATAGCCAGAACGGCTGGTTTTCACAGCAGTATCTACTAGGCCCTCTCGCCCTGCCATGCAGTGAAAGAAGAACTCCTGTGGGAGAAAAGAATATGGTCCCAAAGGTGCAGTAGGCACTTTCTGCAGGGCTACTCAGGCTGACACCCCAAGCAACCTTTCCTGACCAGATAACTCTTCCCCTCCCAGGTACTGATTCCTTGGCTTTGAAGAATCCAATGGCCTAAGTTACTTCTGTTGTCCCATGGTCTCTATGTTATGCTGCCTGAGGTAGAGGAACAGAGTACTAGAAGTAACAGTTCCCATCTACAGGAGTCAGATGCCTCTCCGTATCCGTATGTGCCATCCTCAGGGCCATCCTCCACACCTGATTTCCAAAGACAAGTGGCACTGATGCTCTGACCCTGACTGGTTCAGTCCCACACTTGCATTCCATTTGCCAACAGTGTCAACAAAATAAAACAAAACCACCACCACCAATAACAAAAAAAAAAGAGGCAAAAGCAGCTTTATAAAAAACTTTTCTTTCTTTCCTTCCTTCCTTCCCTCCCGCCCTTCTTTTTTGGACAGAATCATGCCATATTTCCCTGGCCTGCTTCAAATTTGCAATCTTTCTGTCTCAAATTATATATGTCTACTACTATAATTACAATGAGTAAACAGCCCATATATAATTTATGTATAACCATTACTGTAAATTTAATGGGAAATGCATCAAAATTATGATTTTTTTGCACCAGTGAAACAGTAAAGTTGCTATTAACAAAAAAAGAATGTATTTACAATTATAATTAGCAAATGCAGATATATACATGTAAATATAGACACACACATGAATAAATATGTAAAACTCAACCCAAAACTTTACGATACTATCCCATCCTAACTAGGTGGGAAAAATCTGAGATTTGCTTTACCACTCTACTCTGTTTCATTAAATAAAGGAATGCTGGGCACTATCTACTCCAATGACTTCCTCATCTATTAGAGGCACAATCAGAATTTGGAAAATTCTGTTCTATCTCAACCTACCTCCATCCTTTAACACAGGCCACAGATTGACCATTGGAAAGTCCATGTGAGAGAACAGAGAAGGCTGCTGAGTGGTTAATAGCTTTGAAACAATTCACACTCAGACTTACACAACTCAGGCTTAGTGAGCTGCTCACGGGATTACTCTTTCACACAAACACTATACTTAAGGGAAGAAAAAGGGCTAACATACCAAAAGCCATTTCTGACAAGTGTGAGGGGAAACCCTTCTTCTAGGGGAGAACTCCATGTGCGAAAGCAAAACTAGGTATCTTCTATACTCATTAATCTTCCCACTATGAAGGAGTCGGAGACGGGAAGGAACCTGAGAGTTGGGAACTTTGCAAAATCAATCTCTATGATGCTCCTTTTGGCAACATAAACATCTTTGTGTGAGTGACATTGCCTTTTCCAGCTGCTTCACATATTGCTAAGAACTGGCCTAGAGAGGTTGCACGATAATTTTTGTTGTCATTTCCCAGCAAATATTTACTGAGTGTCTACCCTGTGCTAGCTCTGGCGTTACAATGAGAAATGTTAAACAGGTGTGTCCTCTTGGGATCCTAGGATTTAGTGGACAAGAAGGAAGTGACTTGATCACTCTTGCTCAGATTGGTCAATGGGGTAACAGATTACCTAAGTAAAAAAAAACAAACAAACAACAAAACACACATACCGGAGGTCTAATACCTGTGAGAAACCTTCCAGTGACAAAGCCACCAGCCCTGGGGGTGAATTCATAAGGTTCAAAGCAGGGCAATGATTTGCCAGATGCCATCAGTGGAGGTCTCCGGCCTTCCAACTCAATCTGTCCCAGCAGGCAAGAGATCTGGGGAAAAGGAAATCCAATGAAACTCTTTTTTTTTTTTTTTTTTGGGTCCGGTCGTGGGGCCTGAACTCAGGGCCTGCGCGCTGTCCCTCAGCTCTTCAGCTCAAGGCTAGCGCTCTACCACTTGAGCCACAGCGCCACTTCCGGCTTTTTTCTTTTTGCTTATGTGGTGCTTGGGGAATCGAACCCAGGGCCTCAGGCATGCAAGGCAAGTGCTCTACCACTGAGCTATCTTCCCAGCCCCTCCAATGAAACTCTGGATTCCTATATGTGGTAGTGCTTTGTTCAAGTAAGGAAGAGATAGCCTACTCTTCAAGGAAAGACATGTGGAAATTAAAACTAGGGAAGCTGTGTTACAAGCAAAAAATAAAACCAAGTACTAACTTCTTTTTTTTTTGACTGATCTGGATTTTCACAATCGGGCAGGTTGAAATGGGTCATGTTTGGACAAATAGCTATATTTCAGAATCATCACGTTTTACATATAAGAGACTTGAGGTTCCTAACGGTGAAACAGAAGCCTATAGAAATGTAATTTATTGTGATCCTGTCATCCTAGATCTAAAAGAGTACTCAGCTATCCAGGTATTTGCTTCAAAAACAATCTGTAAATATTCAAGGAGAAAAGAACAATAGGTCTACATTTCTCTTTAGTCAGAGGGCTTCCTGTGGGCCTTCAGCCTTCTAAACTCACTCCCACTGGGATCATTTATGAGACAATGATCCTTAAGACCCTTTTAAAGAAGTTCATCAAGGAGCTGGGAAGGTGGCTCAGTGGTAGAGTGCTTGCCTGGCATGCATGAGGCCCTGGGTTCAATTCCTCAGCACCACATACACAGAAAAAGCCAGAAGTGGGCTCTGTGGCTCAAGTGGTAGAGTGCTATACCCTTGAGCTGAAGAGCTCAGGGGCAGTGCCCAGGCCCAGAATTCAAGCTCCACGACTGACCAAAAAAAAAGTTCATCAAGATTAAAAAATAATAATAATAAAACAACAGGAAAATTTGTGAAAATGGTTCTTTAGCACTATGGAAATCTGAGATCTGAGGAGACAATGGACCTGAAGTAATTTTAAGGACAAGCTCATAATGTAATATTAAGTGAAAGAAGCAGATCACGCAACAGTGTAGGCTCTCAGCTGAGACTGAGATTTTACATACAGAGAGTGCATATATAACATGAATCTAGGCAATACAACATTTAAGTTTATAATATATATTTATATAGCTAATGTTATACATACTTGCATATTTCTATCTTTCCATATCTATGGTTAGTGGCTGTATTTATTTCTATATGCTTTGTTCCTTCTTGTGGTTCATTTTTATACAGAATGTAGGTCCTCTTAAAAAATCAGAAATGATCCTAAAAGCTGCCTTTTGCTATCAAGTCCCGTCCCCACTTGGGCAAACTGGCAAAGCCACTTTTGTTCAAACCTGCATCGTGTTCACAGTTGAACCTTTGGCTCCAGACTGCACCATCATCTGTAGGTTGTTCTCTGGAAACTGTCTGTGCAGGCCAAAAGGCATGCATGCCTATGGATTAAATCAACACACTGGTCAGTAACTTTGCCATTTTAAATTCCAGGTTTACACACTTAAATGATATAGGAGCAATAAAACCAGAATATCTAGAGCTTCAGATCAAATCCCATTCAAGGTTAAGGGAAAGCCTTGGTTAGCATTCATCCTTTAGCTAGAACCCATAAAGAGAAGTCAGATGGGTGCCTCCTTGCTTTGTGCTATGCTATTACATCCTTTCAAGAGCTATAGGCTCCATTTTTCTGGTTAAAAGGCAGCAAAAAGGGAGACAGAAAAAAGAGAAGGAAACTAGCATACCTAGCTTGTAATCCTGAAAAGGAGCTGGTTAAGAACAAAATCTAAGGTGATGCCTTTGCAAGCTGGTACCACAGAGGTAGATTACAGATGCCCACATGACACCCACATTTACCAGCATGCCATCAAGCAGCTGGTGGGGATCCTCACTTTAGCTCTAGGATCAGAAATAAGCAAAGCCCCATTGGAAAGTCCAGGGAGATGATTAGAGGACTATGCATTTGTTTAGGTCTTTGCCTAGGGTCCCAGGGACACAACCCAACACGGGGAAGGCCAGCTGGGTGGGAAGAGGTGAGCTGAGATACTTCTGAAGATAGCCCCTCACCAATAACACCCTCAGTTAGTCCTGGAAGTGGCACTACCTTCATCCCCACACAGAAGTGGGCAGGCACCTGTAAACGGACAAACTTGGTCTTCTCAGAAACCAAAAGGAGATGGACACCACAGATAAATTCTTTTTCTCTTTTATCAGTCATGGGGTTTGAACTCTGGCCTGGGCACTGTCCCTGAACTCTTTAGCTCAAGGCGAGTGCTCTACTTGAGCCACAGTGCCACTTCCAGTTTTCTGGTGGTTTACTGGAGAAAAGAGTCTCACAGTGGGGTTAGGAAGGTGGTTCAGTGGTAGAGTGCTTGCCTTGAATGCATGAGGCCCTGGGTACGATTCCTCAGCACCACATAAGTAAAAAAAAGCCAGAAGTGGCACTGTGGCTCAAGTGGTAGAGTGCTAGCTTTGAGCTGGAGAGTTGAAGAACAGTGCCCAGGCCCAGAGTTCAGGCCCTACGACGACGACCACCACCACCACCAACAGCAACAAAAAAAGAAAAACAGTCTCAAAGACTTTCCTGCTGAGGCTGGCTTTGAACCACAATCCTCAAGATCTCAGCCTCCTGAATAGGTAGGATTGCAGGAGTTAACACCGGAGCCTGGAAAATTTTAATTTTTGTTGAGCGTTGGTCTTACTTCTTTCTCTCCTTGTCAGGTCTCTAAACCTAGGAGGCACGGTAAGGGCCAGGTCCAGTCCTCTAAGCCATAGGACTGGGAGTTTCAGCTCTTGGACATGAGGGTAGAGAGAATCAGGTCCTGGTTTCAATCATGCAGATTTTCTTTCTCAGCCACCGCAGGCCTATCTTGGTACTATGCATGTGAGCTCATTCCTGGCAACTCTATGAGACAGTGTTCCTCACATACCATACTCCCATATGACAAAAATCAATGAATGCACAGCTTGCTCATATCACTTACTAGAGGTCAATAGTGTGTGTGAAGCACAACCAGGACCTGAAGATAGGTCTGCACCCCTGGTTCCACTGCATGAGCAACAGGGGTGTTTTGGGCTCTTCTTTTTGCTTGTCTAGCAGCAATAATTTCACAGGAAAGACTACTTTCCTCATTCCCCTTTAGTGTAGTAACTCCAAAATAAAAACATGTAAGACAAGAAACATCACAAAGTATTTCTTTTCAGCACTAAGGCCTTTCAACACCCTAACTGATTTGGGAATGAAACCCTTGACTCTTCACAATGATGTATTCTAACTGTCTCCCCTCCCTACTCTTACCCCAATCTGCTGTTAAAGGGACAAACTGCTCCATGGGTGAGAATCAAAATGTAATTAAAAAAGCAATCAGCATTCAGAAAGATGGAGATAAGTGCAGGCACCACAGGGTTAACCTTGTTAATCTCATTGCTGTAATGGTTCACTTCCTCCTTGAACTTCATATCAATCATGTTAAAATCCCGCTGGTCTTTGCCAAGGTGTGCATCCTGCCATTTCCCACGGACCTCATCACATGATGCAGCTTCTGGTAGGTTCAACGCAACCCTGACAGCCTAGCATAAAAAAGGAGGAACAGGTCAGAAGTTGAAGTCACATGAGAAGGATGTGGGTTTCATTCTGCAAGACATTTGACTCATCTGTAGTGGGCCGCAACCTCCTGTTCCCTCCTTACCCGAGGTCCGCAGTGAGTGGATTCTTCAATGATCTGCTGTCTCTTAACATCTGCCTTTGGCTTAACCAAAATGTCTTCCACATCTGTGAAGTGAAACAGGCAAGTTCAGTTGCGACCAGGTCCGACTTTACCTGTCTGTAAACTTGGTGGGACTTAGGTCCTGAGTAGAGTATAAGAAGCAATGAAATGCTGTTGCTATTAATTCAATTGATTTCTCCCATCTCTTAGGATTATATTGTTTTACAAGTAATTAAAAACTAAGGGCACAAAGGTTAGATAGGTAGAAAGTAAGCCCAGGCTGGGTCCATGTAGAGCTCATGTAATACATCTATGTGGGAGGAAAGCGTTAGAGATGAAGAGGTTTTTGATGAAAAGCTGGGTTTAGAGATGGAAGAGAACATCCCAGGTTGGGCTCCTGGAAGCCAAACATCACAGGGATTACCCATATGGTTGTATGGTATATAGGCCCACAGCCACGTCAAGCCTAGGCAACAGGGTCCATCTCTGTAGTTTCTTTAGCATTGCCAAGGGAGGATGAACTGCCTGTGTGGCTTAAAGCCCATTCTAGCTCAAAAACTTAAAGTAATACCACTTCACTGAACTGCTTTGCCTTTAACTCTGAGCACTACAGTACTCCAAATTTCCTCCATCAAGATCTGAGAAAGAAGGCAAACAACTAACAGTACTGTCCAAAAGGCAAACATATCTGTAATACCTTTAACTGGAGGGCTTCTCAAGGTCACATATTGAGTAGAAGGGAAAGAAACATTCCTTTTGTGAAGTAGCCACTTCCCATGACAATGAGCCTTGTAACGATGCCTTCTTCCTAAGAAGGGCTAGAGTGGAGCTAGCCTTGTGGGCCCATCCTCCCTGGAGTCATAATCCCAGCTTGGCCTTGCGGCATCTGAATCATCACCAACTCAGAGGCAATTCCCTTCTATGCCATGTGTTAAACAGAGCTACAAGCATAGCTGCTGTTTGTTAGGTTTGGTCTTCTGCTGTGAGTTAGGTGTGGAATCGTCCTCTACTTCTCATTTTCAGAGCTCTCTGAACATCTGTTTCTAGTTAGCAGATGTTTGTGCTTTTCCTAGACCATTAAAAACTAATTTACATTTTATAAGTGTGAGGTTCTTAGTCTTTACTCTTTCTGCCTGTGTAGCTTCCACATGGAATTAAGTGATCAGGCCAATTATAGGAATCAGGACACAGAAAGGAGAATTTCAGTCCTGAAATAAAACAATTGGATATACTTGCTAAGGTGTTTATACAAGGGTAGTATCTCAATAATAATGTGAAAAGTTACAAACAGTCTGCTTAATTATAGGAACAGGTTAAATAAATTACAATATAACTAACCCTCCCTATCTATGGGTTCTCCATCTGTAGACTTAACCAACTGTGATTGAAAATATATGAAAATGAAAAAACTGTATCTGCAATGATAAAAAAAAAAAAGTACATTTTTTTCTTGTCTTCCCTGTAGTTTAACAATGATTTACTTAGCAGTTATATAGTATAGCATTAGAATTTATAGATTAGAATTTAAAGTGCATGGAAGATTTACAACCCCCTCAGAAACTAAACATCTATAGTCAGTAGTTACTACGATGCAGATTGATATTAGCTGACCTCAAAGAGCACTTGTAAATACATTTGAGAATGATGTTATTCGGAGGAATAGATTACAAAACAGTGTGAGATAAAGGATTCCGTTCTTTGCTGAATATACTTCCACTGGAAAAGTCTAGAAAATACAGACCAAATCAATACTAATGGTTATCTCTGACAACTGGATGCTGAGTGATTTCAAATTATCTTCAAGTCTGCATTTAAATGTTTTCCATACAATTAAGTATATTACACAATCGAAAGTATAATAAAATGTGTAATACAAGTCTTACTGCAGGCCATTGACAAAACTCCCACTGTGGCAGGCCTAGGGATCCCACAATGGGACTCCCACCATGTTGGCATGTGAACCAGTCTACAAGTATTCACGCTATCATGGTATTACACACTGTGGTGAGGGTTTAACATGCAGCATTTTAGGGAATCCTCATAGGACTGCTACAGAAGGGCCTAGATCAGTTCCACATACACAGCTGGGCCCTGCAGCAGATTTTCCAAAATCAAATCTACCCAGCTCACAGAGAGAAACAGCATACTCTTTTTCTGCATCACAGCTGATTCTTAAAATAGCATGGTCTCATGTCTAGGGAAAAATAAGGAAGCCCCTCTTCCTTAGGAGTACTCCTACGTGTCTGCCCCAGTGGTGTTCCCACAAGTGCCATCACAGCCTTCTGTGCTGGAAAGACACGAGCAGTTGTAACGGGAAAGCCCCTGTGTAGAGCAGGGAGGGCCCAGGGAAATCCAGGTGTTTGCAGGAGAGAATGGGAGTGTGTTTTAAGGACAGGAAAGCAGTATAAAGCATGAGGTTGAAAAGCGGGAACAGGATGAGGACCCAGATGGAGGAGGCTGCTGTGTGCAGTAGAAAAGAAACACCAGTTGTGAGGAGTCAGGATGGAAGCACTGCTAGGAAGCCAGGCCAGACGCCCTTGAAAAAGGAATCTAGTTGTTCCCTACAAAGGTCAGCAAAGCTGGGGGTAATGGGCCCTGAACTCACCCAAGGTAAATCCTCTGTAGAGCTGAAGGTAGGCAGTGAAGAGACGAGCCAAGCAGGTAAGAACCTTGCCACTGGTCTCACCCCCATAGATCTCATAGCAGCAGTGGACTAGGCCGTAGGCAGAGCTCCCATAGTGCGCCTTGTCCAGCACTCCACAGAGCAGCTCCCCTTCCCTGATGATCACCTGCACAGGGAAAGGACTTGAGTGCCAGGATGCAAGTGATATCTGGGGAAGCCACCAATCCTCCACTGTGTACACACACACACACACACACACACACACACACACACACACACACACACACACACACACACACACACACACACACACACACACACACACACACTAAATAAAGGAAATGAATATATACTGTCCCATAGTTTTTGTTTGTTCAGGGACTACTCATCTCACAAAGTGCCTAGACTCCCACAAACTCTTCACTTTGATTATTACTTCCTCCTGCTTCTCCACTCACCCATACACGACATCAAGTATCCTTAATCAAGACTTTGTGAACAGATAATATCTAGAGCTGGGCATCTAAGGCTCTTGCTTATAATCCTAGCTACTCAAGAGGACAAGATCTGAAGTTCACAGTTTGAAGCCAGCCCAAGTAAGAAAGTTTGTAAGACTTTTACCTCCAATTAACCAGCAAAAAGCCAGAAGTAGCCCCAGGACTGGCACAAAACAACAATAACAACAAAAACCCATCTAGAGCTTTACACTTAAAACTATAACTAGCCTAGGTACCTTCCCTCCCTGGTACCTTCTAGGTATAAGACAACAAAATCATTCTTTGATGTTGTTGGTTGTGGGGCTTGAACTCAGGACCTGGGCTCTGTCCCTAAGCTCTTGTCTCAAGGCTAGTGCTCTACTGCTTTGAGCCACAGTTCTACTTCTGGTTTTTCTGGTGGTTCACTGGAGATAAGAGTCTCACAGACTTTCTTGCCTGGGCTGGCCTTGAACTGTGATCCTCAGATCTCAGCATCTTCAGCAGCTAGGATTACAGGTATGAGCCACTGGTGCCCCCACTAATAAAATCTTTTTAACATCCTCTAAGGTCTGAATCTGTACTTTCACAGTTAAAATATCAGAATCTAGTAAAAACAAAAGAACTGCTAGCTTCATGACATAATATAATTAAGTACTTGATCTCAAAGGGCAAGAAAAGATTCTACAGGTCTGAATGGAGCATCCACTAAGATCCTGTCATGTGCCTGTCATCCATGCCAGGTGCCAGTGGCTGGCTCATGCCTTTAATTCTAGCTACACAGGAGGCTGAGATCTGAGAATCACGGTTTAAAGCCAGCCTGGGCATGAAAGCCTGTGAGATTCTTTTTTTTTTTTTTTAATTATTTTATTTTATTTTATTTGTGAACATACTGTACAGAGGGGTTACAATTACATGGGCAGGATAATGCGTACATTTCTTACCAAGCATTGCAGCCTCCTCCTTTGTTTACCCTTCGCCTGTGAGATTCTTAACTCCAACAAACTACTAAGAAAAAAAGCCAGAAGTAGAGCTGTGCCTCAAGTGGTAGAATGCTAGCCTTGAAACTCAGGAGCAGTGCCCAGGCCCTGAGTTTATGCCCTAGGACTGGCACCCCCTACCTGCCCCCCCCCCCCAAAAAAAAAGAAATCCTTTCACAAGGCTGTGGGTTAGCTCAGTGGTAGCATGAATTATAAGAGAGTATGAGATCCTGGGCTTGATCTTTAGCACTACAAAGAATAGAAACAATGACACAGAGAAAAAGAGGTTGGGGGGAGGGAGGGAAGGACAGGAAAGGAAAAGGCACTGCTACAAAGCAAATTGTGCTCTTCAGACTTGGGGATGCTCAAGCTTTTTGGAGTGGGAGTTTTACACTGAGGGTCAGATGGTGGAAACCAACCATCTGACTTTTTCCAAAACAAAAGCAGACAGTACCCTGGGCAAAATCCTTCTTCTGAGGCATGACTCCAGTTTCTCTAAGTGTGTCTTCATTTCTGTCTCTGTTTTAAGTCAATCTGTCTATACCAAGGAATAGAAGTCTCCAACACATACAACTGGGCAGTCCTACCTGAGACTCACACATGGAGTCAGGGTTAAAGTCAGGAACAGGCCGAGGAGTTTCTTTCACCCAGGCTTTCCCACTGATTTTAGCCTTTCCAGTTAAGTTCAGTGGAATGTAGTCGTCTGGGATTATGTTTATGAGCAGTGTTGATACAACCTAGAGAGACAAAGAGGATAAATTGATGACAAGCTGAAGGTAGAAGAGGAGAAAACTGGTTGAGGACCTTCTTTCTGATTCCTGATGCTGTTATAGATACTCTTGGGATCAGCAGACACTCTCTAAAAGTTAAGTCCATCTCATATTTTACCAAAATTACTTAGGAGCAGAAACAAAAATACACCAATGAGAACGTCACTGATATTTTTAACTCCCTAAATAGTTCATCTTCAAGTCAACAATTTCCTAGATATGAATGAAATTTCCGATTACATCAGAGAAAGGTGAGGGGAAAAAACCCCAAATATAATGGGGTCAAAATAAAGAAATTGAGTGTGTGCATAAAAAAAAGAAAGCAAAGAATTACTTAACAAGGTTAAGAAAAGATGGTGTGGCTTATAACATCATGGTCTGCCAAAAGTGAGCCCTAACAATCCTTAACTGAAGTGAATAATTAAAGAACCCTTTTCAGAGGCATCCTGTTTACCTCAAAAGATACAATTACTCATATTCAATAACTTCCTTTCTGCGGAACAGCTTTGACTTTTAAGGAAGGCAGGGGTGCAAAGACTAGAACTGAGGTTTTTTTGTACTAAGGAGGCTGAAGGTATCCAACTAAGAAGCAGGCTGCAGTGATGATTCGAGGATCCCGGGTGCCCCAGTGTCTACTCCATCAGCCATTCATTCACTGTGGGGAGCATCTTCTCTTGGTCTCAACCTTCATAGATTTCAGGTCTGATTCACTTGGCAATTATATATCTAGTATTTGCTATAAGCCAGGTATTGAAAAGAGAGTTGTGAACAACACTTAATCTCTGCCTTCCTTGGAGAAAGAATGGAAAGAAATTAAAGGAATAAATGTAAAGATATGGATTTGAAAGCATGCTATTGTTAAGATGGCAACATATTCCCAAATATATCTGCAGATTTAATGCAATCATTCCAACAGAATTCTGCAGGAATATTAATATGCTGATCCTAAAATTTATATGGAAATGCAAGGGATCTCAAGTAGCAAAAATAATCTTGGAAGTAGAAGAAAACTAGAAAACTCTCGCTTCTGGATGAATTTGGACCCTTGCCTTACTCCATGAACAAAAATTAACTCAATATGCATCAAAGACAATAAACACTTAGAAATAACCACAAAAACATGAGCAACAAAAAGCAGATAAACTGAGCTTCATCAAAATTTAAAACTTTTGTGTCAAGTGAATCCACGGAATCAGAGAAAGTATGTATAAACCATTTATGTGATACAATTCTTTTCTTTGTCAGTCGTGGGGCCTGAAATCTGGGCACTGTCCCTCAGCTCTTCAGCTCAAGGCTAGTGCTCTAGCATTTGAGCCACAATTGCCACTTCTGGCTTTTTATGCTTATGTGGTGCTGAGGAATCAAACCTAGGGTCTCATGCATGCAAGGCAAGCACTCTACCACTGAGCCACCTTCCCAGCCCTATGTGATACAATTCTAATATATAAAGAAATCTTACAATTTAATAAAACACAACCTAATTAACAAATGGATAAAGGACCTGAATAGACATTTATTCAAAGACAGTATTACAAAAGGCAAGGAAATATATGAAGAGATGTTTGATAAATCACTTAACATCTGCTAGGATGGCTATTAAATAGAATGAAGCAAACACTGCTGAGAGTATACGCAAATTGCAATCTACACACAATGTTGGCAGGAATAAAAAAATGGTACAGTTACTTAATTAACTATGGTTTACAACAAAGGCTAAATAAAAATGTTAAACAAGCCAGGCACCGGTGGCTCACGCCTATAATCCTAGCTACTCAGGAGGCTGAGATCTGAGGATCACGGTTCAAAGCCAGAGTGGGCAGGAAAGGCCACAAGTCTCTTATCTCCAATTAACAACCTCAAAACTGGAAGCAATGCTATAGCTCAAATTGTGGAGCACTCGTCTTAAGTTGAAGACCTGAGGGATAGCGTCCAGGCCCAGAGTTTAAGCATCACAACTACAAAAAAAAAAAAAAAAATCCAGTCATTGTACTCCTAAGTTATATATGTATCCAAGGTAAATGAAAACACATGTTCACTCAAAGAATGAAATATAAATGTTTACTACAGCTTTATTTGTAATGTCCAAAAAAATGGAAGCAACCCAAACGATCACTTTGCCAACTAAAAATTGACAAACAAAATAAGGTATACTCATATAATGGAATATTATTCAGCTGTAAGAAGGAATGAAATTCTTTATGCCTATAATCCTAACTACCAAGAGGGCTGAGATCTGGAATCATGGCCGTTCTATTTGTTGTGTTTTGAGGAACCTTCCATGCTATTATTGCTCTACTAATTTACATTTATGTCAGCAGCTAATGAAGTTCCCCTTTCTTCTCTTCCTTGACAAGCAGTCCATTTTTAACATTTCGCTGAATGACAGAAGTTCATTGAACTGTTTATGTGCCAGGTTGACAGGAACTTTTTTCTGATTATTCTGTGTCTGATTTGGTTGACTTGGTGATGTCTTGTGGGTTCATTCTTTGTTTGTACATGTGACTATGTATCAAAAGGTAAGGAAATCAGAAAACCTAAGACAGATCTGTATTTCCATGTTTATTGCAACACTAATCACAATAAACAGTCAAGAGAGAGTCAACCTAGACACTCATCAGCAAATGCTGGGTAAAGAAAATATGCTATAGACTGGGGGTGTGGCTCAAGTGGTAGGCAGGTTTGTCTAAGGGGCTTTAAGCTCAATCCCTAATATGGCTTAAAAACAAACAAACAAACAAAATCCTTTCAAGATGGAGACCCTAAAGGATATTATATACTAACTGAAATAAACCGAGGCACAGAGGTGAATACCACGTTTTCACTTACTGAGGAAGCCTAAATGCCTGATCTCATAGAAGTACAACATGGAATAGCAGCTAGCAGAGGCTTAGAAGGGTGAAGGATAGATAACAGGAATGTAGGGCTGGGAGTGGATACGAGGAATAACCCACTATTAGCACAGTTGACAATTACTTCAAAATAGCTGCTTTTGAATGTGTCCATCAAAAAGAAGTGATAAAGGTTTAAGTTTAAGGTGATGGACAATCCAATTATCCTTATCTGGTCTTTATACTTTGTATGCATGATAAAAAATGTCACACGATACCTATTAATATGGAAAATTGTGTCAATTGAAAAGAAAAAACCCTTAAAGTCAATACAGTTCATTAATCAATGACGAGTACTTGTGTCAAGAAATTGTGGTGGTATATCCTTGTAATTCCAGCACTCAGAAGCCATATAATAATAATTACCAGGCCAGTTTAGACTACATAGAGATCCTATCTCAAAAAGAGTTGTTCAAGCTCTAATATCATAAAGGAAATGTAAATTAAAATAAGATGACACTACATACCAAAAAAACTTTTTTTGGAAACAAGATCTCTCTATATAGCTGACCTCAAACTCTCCATTTTCCTGCCTCAGCTTCCCAAGTACTTGGTATTACATGAATCTATCACCATGCTTGGCATATAACCGTATGATAGCTAAAATTAAACAAGTAGACCAAAACCAACAAAACAAACAACATAACAATAGCATTAAGTTTCATTGAGAATAAGTAACAATCAGAACGCTATGCAATACTGGTGAAAGCATACACTACTACAAGCATTTTGGAAAACTGTATATCTGTTCAATAAAAGACAAAGGAGTGTTGTAGTAGTAGCTCTGTTTCTAACAGCCAACTCACCAGGAAAACAGAAGACAAAAATTATCAGTGTCATTAGGAACAACACCACTACAGACTTGGAAAATAGAAAAGTTTATGAATAAAGAAATATTGTAAGTGAATTTATTCCTCAAATTCAACAACTTGGATGAAATGGACAAATCCTTGGAAAAGTACAACTAAAGCTTCTTCAAGACTTCAAGAAGAAATACAAACCCCAGTAGTCTTCTATCTATTCTGCTGTTCAGCTAGAAGAAATGATCAGACTGGATATTTTATGAAGAATAGAAATTTATTTCCCCAAAGTTCTGAAGGCTAGAAACTCCAAGATTGGGAAAACAGTATCTAGCTAAGGCTTTCTGATAATACCATCTGTGCTGAAAGATAGGTCTAGGGGAGGAATGGGGACAGGAGGCCGATGGAGAGCTAATAAGTGGCCCAAACTTAACCTCTTATAAGGAATTTATTTCCAAGAGGGTTAATCCATTCACAAAGGTAGAGATCCTTCTCCTCCCCTCCTGAAGTACTGGGGATCAAACCTAAAGTTCTGTGCATGTTGCTCTACCATTTATATATTCCCAACCAAAGGTTCCACCTCAGTATTGCTGTATTGACTTTCTAACACATAAACATTAGGGGACATATTCAAATCATAGCAACTAAGCCAAAAAGTTTCTAAATAATAGCAACTAAGCTGAAAAAAAAAAAAACCCTACCTATACATAAGCCAAGTAAACATTTTTATGAATAAAAACTAAATCAAAACCTACTCTCAAAGTAACTCCAGTCCCTAATGTCTTCACTGGTGAACTCTACTAAACATCTAAAGAAATACCTGAGCAATGGTGGTTCTCACCTATAATCCTAGCTAGCTGGGAGGCTAAGACTTGGAGGTCTAAAGTACAAGACCAGTACAGGCAAAGGAAGTTCATGAGAATCCAGATAGAGGAAGAAGCCGAGTATGCTGAAATGTGCCTCTCATACCAGGAAGATTTTAGTTCCACGGTAATACAGGCAAAAAAAAAAAAAAAAAAAGTTCATGGGCTGTGAAGATGGCTCAGTGGTAGAGTGCTTGCCTTGCATGCATGAGGCCATGGGTTCGATTAGTACCACATAAGCAGAAAAAGCCAGAAGTGGCACTGTGGCTCAAGTGGTATAGCACTAACCTTGAGCTGGAGAGCTGAGGGACAGCACCCAGGCCCAGAGTTCAGGCCCCACGACTGACAAAATAAAAAAAAAATTTCGTGAGACTCTTTCTCAGTAGAAGAGCTAGGTGTGGTGGTGCAATCTGTCATCCCAGCTATGGCAGGAAATATAAAGTAGGTGGATCACAGCCTAGGCACTGATCTGGGCAAAAAGTTCAACCTTATCTCAAAATAACCAGTTCAAAGAAGGGCTGAAGCCATGTCTTAGTGGTGGAGTGCTGAGCACAAGGCCCTGAGTTCAAACTCCAGACACACACACACACACACACATACACACACACACACACACATACACACACACACACACACACACACACACACACACACACACACACACGCGTGTGTGTGTGTGTGTGTGTGTGTGTGTGTACCACTTACCCAACCAAACAACAACAACAAAATCCTGGTATTAGAAAACTCACAGAAAATCAAAGAAGAGATAGTTTCCCACTTACTTTAAGGTATCAGACATCAGATATCAACATACCATACTTATGATACTCTGATACCAAAATCAGCCAAAAATATCATAAGAAAACGAAACACCAACAAAGATATTAAGCTAAATACAGATACAAAAATTATTCTAGCTAGGCATTAGTGGAATGTACTGTTAATCCCAGCACTTGGGAGGAGGAGGCAGGATTCCAAGCTTGAGGCCAGCCTAACATACTTAGATGCTGTCTCCAAACAACAACAAACCAAAATCTACTTCCAGAGTGAACTATATATATGTGGTTTTGTTTTGTTTTATTTGCCAGTCATGGGGCTTGAATTCAGGGCCTGGGTGCTATCTCTGAGCCTCTTTGTGCTCAAGGCTAGTGCTCTACCACTTGAGCAACAGCACTGCTTCCAGCTTTTTCTGAGTAGCTTATTGGAGATAAGAGTCTCACACACTTTTCTGCCTCGGCTGGCTTCAGGCTGAGATCTTCAGATCTCAGCCTCCTGGGTAGCAGCTAGTATTACAGGTATAAGCCACCAGTGCCCAGCTTAGATCATCCTTTTATTTCAAATATGAAGTTGCCTCTTAAAAGGAAAATGTGTTCAAGGCCTGGTCTTCAGCCAAAGGTACTGTTGAGAAGTGCCTTGATCACAAGGGTGCTAACTTACTTGATAGATTAACCTATTATAAATTCAATACTGAATGGGGCCTTGGTTGGAGGAAGTAGGTCATGGGTACCTGCCTCTGAAAGGAAGATCTTGTCTCTGGCCTCTTCCTGTCTCTCTGTAGTGAGGTGAGCCATTCTGCACTACCATCTGCTCCCCACCACCACTTGCTTTGGCATGCATGGGCCCAGAACCAACAGAGCCAAGTGTCATCGTCCTCCTAACATTGCAAACTACCACTAAGCACATACTGCCTTTCAACATGCAGAACCTGTATCACTAAACTAAGCACATTAATTTGTACCTTATGAGAGGCAGATTTTCACAAAATTAAGAGCAGGGAAACATTCAGGAGATCACCCAAAAATTTAAACAGAACTGGCAATAACTCAGGAATGAAAGCTTCTCCACCTCAACTGAGCTACAAAATGAATGCTAATTTCTTTCCCCTTTTCTGTCTTTTTTTTACTACACTTGGTCAAAACTGACACAATAAATGCACCAATAAGGCAGGTTCACTATACTTCATAACTTGATCAGTATGTATACTATCATTGGGTTACTTTGAGAGGAAATATGGTGTGATACTTTGGGAGTTTGAAAAGTCCTAAGTTTGAATTCCACGTCTGTTTCCTATGGCATTGGATAAGTAATTCAACATTTCTAAGTCTTAGTATTTTTTCATCTGCTAAAGAGAGATAGTATTTGCAGGTTGGTTATAAGGATCAGCTGAGGTATCTAAACCACTCAGCAAAGCACTTGGTAATTCCCAAAAAATATTACTATTATAACCACAGCATTACTACTCAGTTACCATAATGAGATCACCAAGTTTAAGTTAAAAGCAAAACAGGGATGGGATGTATCTCAGTGGTTAGGAAGTGCAATGCTGGGCTCGATCACTAGGACCAAAAAACAAAGACTATGCAACTTATTCTTAATAGACGCTCTCTTCAGCCTTCTTGGACTTACAGACCCCAAACAAAGGGAAAATCAGACTATTTTACAATTAGCTGTTTCTCTGTCTCTGGCTTAGCCTGGCCTCTCTTAAAAATGGAATTTCTTATACACCAATTGTTTTCTCAATTACCTGCTTTCCAGTCCACAGTGAAAAGGGCTTCAGAATGGCAGGAGGAAGGAGCTTCACGCGTCCTACTTTGTCTGTGAGTCCTCGGTATACCAGCTCCATATACTGTTCTCGGGTGAAAAAGCAACCCCGAATAGTCATGTTTGCACCTGAGACCATGTGATCTTGGATCAGTCCTGCCAATGGCTGGCCATCCTACAGGAAATAAAGATAAAATATAAATCAAATCCTTAATTACTAATCATTTACATAGGAGTCTAAATATAACCAGGGCTTAACTCTGGCTCCTACTTTTGCTATTTGTTCACTGCTCTATGATATTCTACTTTTGCTATTTGCTCACTGCTCTATGTTAAAACTGCTTCAAACAAATCCAATTCTTCTAAACTTTGTTATATCCCATCTGGTTCTAGTTATTCCAGAAGACTTTTTGGCATTTATGCATAAATTTGGTCTGGCTGTTGTTAGCTATATTCTTGGTTTTTTTGTATTTTGGTTTTATGCTTTAGTATTTTTCACACATTTCTGGCCTGATTCTCCTGTAAACTAGTCACCCATTTAACAAATATTTATTGAGAGCCTACTGTAAGCTTAGGCACTGGGAAGACTTTTGGTCTACTCTTGAGGAAGAGCCAGACAGTAAACAAAGGACTGGATAAAAACACAATCACAAAGCATTTTAAATGAAGAAAAGATTGGGAGAGGAGTAGTCAGGAATGGTCTTTCTCTGAGGGGCAGTAGTACAACTATGGACTGAGAGGTGACTTGGAGTCAGCCAGAAACAGGGAAAATGGAATTCAGGCACAGGTTCCTGGACAGGACCATGGCAAGGCCTTGATGTGCATGTGGGCTTGTAATAAAGACGGTTTTCTACCAAATGCCACACAAAGGCTTTTATTAAAATCCAGATTTGGTTAGTATATTAATTTAATTTGACACTCTCACAACCTTCATGATCTCCAGGCTCTTCAACCTTCTCTCTCAAGTCTGTGTTCATGGCAACATAAGGCAACATAAGTAAAAATAGCTGTGCCACTGATGTCTCATAAGAACTAGATTTCGTAGACTTTTCGATGTTTATAGGAATTGGAGAAAAACCCTGACTTACATCTAAAGATTGTTATCATTTAGTCATTTGTTAACTACTAGCCAATATTATGGTCATATTTCATAATTAAGGCTAGAGAAACTCACAAAGGCAGCTATGGAGAATAGCCAGGAATTTAACCACATGTTCTAATTCAAAGGCTAAAAAGGATTTTTGTCAGATGGTCCAAATACTCTGGCATAATAGGCTGGATGTAAACTCAAAAGATTATTATTACAGAAGGTCTAAAAAGGTTCCATAGATTTAAGTCAAGATCACACCGAACACACAACCCTTCTGAATACTTTGTAATTCATGTTAAAAACAAAACACAAAAATATGCTCTAAATCTTATTCTGAAGATGCTTGCTTGGGGGAAAAATCCAGAACAGTATATAACACATACTAGTTTTGGGGGTCAGATACAGATTTTTCATTTTGTTTTCTTTTTTAAAGAATCTAAGTTATATGAAATAGTCTATTACTTAAAGGGCTCAATTGTTTCCAATGCAATCACTACATATTCTAGGGAGAAATGCTGATTAAAGCAAAATGACATTTAATTTTTTAAAAAACCAAAATGCTTAGTAAATAGGGCATTTGGTCTTGAATTATATCTAGCTAAGTAGAATTCAGATAAAGTTTTCTTGGAAAAGAAACCGCTAAAATTCCATTCATCTCATACCTGGAAGTCATACTACAACCTGATTTTACCTAACACATATGGCCAACAATAAAATATTCTTTAATCTCATATTATGGCTAAAGAAGAGAACTCAGAAATGGAATAATAAAGAAAAATGGAAACAAAACAAGTCAATAAAAATGACCAAATATCCAGCCTAAGCAAAGCCCAAGTTTGATCTTTAACATAGCAAAAAAAAAAAAAGGACCAAAACCACACAGGTTTTCTTTAAATCAATGCTTGTCCACTTAGGACTCTGACACCAGTATGTTGCATTTTTATAAATATTAGTAAAAATAAAAAGTCCCCTTCCTGGAATTTATACTATGGGCTAAATAAAACTCATCAGAATCAGAGGTTTATAATTTTAGGGTTTTTTGTTGTTGTTTTGTTTTTTTCTTTGGTTGGTCATGGAGCTTAAACTCAGGGACTGGGTGCTGTCCCTGAGCCACAACTCTACTTCCAGTTTTTAGATGGTTAATTGGAGGTAAGATTCTCATGATCTTTCCTGTCCAGGCTGGTTAGAACTGTTGATCTCTGCCTCTGAGTAGCTAGGATTACATGCATAAGTCACCAGCACCTGGTGGAGAGGTTTATTTTTTTTTGCCGGTTCTGGGGCTTGAATTCAAGGCCTGTCCCTGAGGTTCATTTGCTCAAGACTACCGTTGTACCCCTAGAGCCACAATTCCACTTCTGGCTTTTCTGGTAGTTTATTATAGATAAGAGTCTCTTGGACTTTCCTGCCTGGGCTAGCTTTGAACTGTGATCCTCAGATCTCAGTCTCTTGAGTACTAGGATTACAGCTGTGAGCCACTGCTGTCTGGCTTGGTGGTTTACTTTTGACAAAAGAAACAAAGTGAAGAGAACTTTCAGGCCATTCTCAAGTTTTTTGTTTTTTTTTTTGGGTCCAGTTGTGGGGCCTGAACTCTGGGCCTGGGCACTGTCCCTCAGCTCTTCAGCTCAAGGCTAGCGCTCTAGCACTTGAGCCACAGCGCCACTTCCGGCTTTTTGCTTATGTGGTGCTGAGGAAGCGAACCCAGGGCCTTGAGCATGCAAAGCAAGTGCTCTACCACTGAGCCACCTTCCCAGCCCCACCATTCTCAAGTTTTGTTTTGTTTTTCTTTTTGAGAACCTAATTTAAGGGCTGGAGATGGAGTTCAGTGTTCTAGCACGAACAAGGTCTTGGTTAAATCCTAGCAATGGAGGGAGGGTGCAGGGAGTGGAGAAAAAGAAATTTACTAATGTAAGCATTTATCTGGGTTCTGTTTCTCTCCCTTAGGTGAAGCCCAAGCTAAAATTCACATGCACATGAGCATATGACAAGGCTCACATATTTATAAACAGGTCAGCATAAACACGAACCTTCCTAATGCTTTATTCCTTATTCAACTAAAGTTAAGTATAGAACATTCAAGTTCATTGGTCTGCAGTCTTCACAGTACCTCAATTCCCTTGTAGGCTAATGACCACAGGTCTTTGTCAATAGTCACTTCCTGCTCCCTGAAATCAGATCTAAACCAAAGAGCTGGAATGATCTGAAGAACTATGACCTGCCAAAACACCTCCACCAAGCCTCAGCCCCTTGTCAAATGGGACTAAGAACACATAGCTAAGCACAGAGATCAAAGGTGCTGGATTTGAGTCCTGGCATCATCATAAACTATTCTTTTGGTGCTTCTTCATTAGAAAGTGACACCTACCTCAAAATGCTGTTGTGTAAACTATATAAGAGAAATGTTTACAAATTAGAGTGGTTCTTTAGGCCTAGGATCTGTTCAGTAAATGAACAGCTCCACTCTAACAGCTACAACTGCTATTATTGACCCAAAAAGACAAAAACCCAAACTTTTATATTAGATAAATTATGTTAAATTGCCAAGTGATCTGATCAACCCTTTCTTCCAGCTTTTGGTCCTTCTGCTAATTAAGAGTCCACTAAAATGGGCAGAGAAGGGAAATTAAACTTCAACTGACTCTTGAGCCAAGCCACTGTAATATAGCAGGTGGGTAAAACAGGCTGCGTTGCTAGGCTCCTGTCTACCTGATTTCCTAAGTGGCAGATGGCTGATAGAAAAAGGGAAGTTCCAAGGAGCAGAGCGCTAATCTTTCTGGACATCTCTGAGCAGCCCTGGTGATCCCTGAGTACAAAGCTTTCCAACTCTGCAGCAAAAACAAATTCAAGATGACCCTGGAAGCTTCTTGTCTGCCCTCTTACTTCTTAGCCTGCTGTTGTAAACTGTATCAATTCTTAAATGTAAACTATGAACATAAATAGCATCTACTCTAAGGACTTTGGGCAAGGTGAAATAAGAAGCCTCCAAAATGCAATGCAATGTCTGGCACTGAAAATGTGCTTGGTAAAAGGTACCTGTGGTTTTACATCATTATTCCTAGTTCTTTCAAATTCCACCACAATCCCAATGAATAACGTATAACTGTGAACCACTGGGAAGTAAATGGCTTACACTTGGAAAGGCCACAGATCATTAGGCAGGTGGTAAAGGGTAAGTGGGAACTAGAACATACTCTACCCTTTTTCCTGAAGCCTGGCCTCTTCTCTTGACTCTGTCTCTCCCACAAGTATATATTGACTTGGGGAACCTTGCCACTTTGGGAACAAGCCAGGTGAGGTGCAATCAAATGTGTCCATTTGGAAAACTACTACATGAGGTTGCTTATGAGGACCAAATTTAGAAGGAGAAAAAGGAATTTAAATGGATGTCTTCATGGACTTCAGGATGGACTTCAAATGAGATTAAGTGGCTTCTTCTTCTTTTTTTTTTTTTGCCAGTCTTGGGTCTTAAGACTCGGCCTGGGCACTGTCCCTGAACATCTCTGTGTTCAAGGCTAGCACTCTACCACTTGAGCCACAGCACCACTTCTGGTTGTTTCTGGGTAGTTTATTGAAGATAGGAGTCTCACAAACTTTTCTGCCGGGGCTGGCTTCAAACCATGATTCTCAGATCTCAGCTTCCTGAGTATCTAGAATTACAGGTATGAGTCACTGGCACTTGGCTTCAGTGGCTCCTTAAAACTCAGGCTTGTCAGAAATCATAGGATCAAAGTCATCGGTAGGCCATTACATTTTAGATGCTAATGTTTGCAAGTGACCAGTAAGTGGTGGAATTGAAACCTAATTCTCATATACATGATCTATCATGTAGCTACTAATCTTGGCTTTCTGGGATGACTGCCCAATTTTTCTTCTGACTTACATTTTTAAGACACAGCAGATAAAAACCTTTCCCTGTCCTTAGGCAATTAGAGGACCAAAAAAAAAAAAAATCTGGAATAAATTAGGACCCTTGCTGTTCCAAGTACCTCTGCCCTATAGCTACCCATTGACCCCAACAGCTGGTTGCAGTCCAGCTTCAGTGTGCCAAGTCAAGCTGGTGACAGCTGTGGAAGGGCCTCTGGGTCAGACCTACCTTGGGAACAAGGTACTGTTGATCAGTACAGGCCAGGACATAGGCCTCTGCTCGACCCAGCTCACTCTGAGGGAAGTGGGCGTTCATCTCATCTCCATCAAAGTCAGCATTATAGGCCTTGCAATTGGCATAGTGGAGCCGAAGGACTTTCTCTTCAGGTAGGATACGAGCATGGTGGGCCTGGATGGATGGTCTATGCAGGGTGGGCTGTCGGTTCAGTAGAAGAATGTCTCCATTCTTTATGTGCCGGCAAACCTGGGGACAGCGGAAAAGAGGTAGGTGATCAATGGGAACTTCGGAATTATTACTGCTCCTTCCATGGGCTCACCTAAACTGGATCGGCCTATCCCATGTTCTAGACATCAAATGCCACGAAGTCTGCAGCAAACCCTACAATCTGAGAAAGAACTTGCCAGATCTCTCTAGAAAGAATCTGCATAGTCTAGATCCTAGCTCTGGGCTCAGAGGAACAAGTAAGATCAGACCAGAGGTCTCTGTGAAATGTCTTCAGGCTTCCCTGACTAAATATTAGGTTTCTTTGAGAATTAATCTTAACATGAAAACAGATACAACTTCTGATAGCTGAATTTCTAAAATGTAACCATGAAACCGCCTAGGGTTGAAAGAACTTGGCAGACTTCTCAAATCCCTGTCATGGTCACATGTATGTTATTCAAAGTATGATTTTCATATACTAGTAATACCTAACTTCATAGAATAGAGCTAGGACTAAAAAACAGGGTTCTAGGAAGTGGCGCTGTGGCTAAAGTGGTAGAGCGCTAATCTTGAGCTGAAGAGCTGAGGCACAGCATCCAGGCCCAGAGTTCAGGCCCCACGACCAGACCAAAAAAAAAAAAAAAGCTGTTACTATTGTCTTCAGGACATGAAGAAGAATAGTAAAGGCTAGAAGATTTAACATCTTTTTTTTTGGTCAGTCGTGGGGCTTTAACTCTGGATCTGGGCGCTGTCCCTCAGCTCCTCAGCTAGCTCTAGGCTAGCACCGTACCACTTGAGCCACAGCGTCACTCCTGGCTTTTTTATTCTGCTTATGTGGTGCTGAGGAATCGAACCCAGAACCTCATGCATGTGAGGTAAGCACTCTACCACTGAGCCAACTTCCCAGCAGATTTAACATCTTAACTTTATACAGCTTAGTACTCCATACAACATGAGCAGTTGCACATATTCTGTAATAGGAATGAATATATGTGTGTGTTCATATAGAGATATACATGCATATGTGTTCATATATTATATATATATTTACATTAGTTATATGGGGGAGGGGAAAGATTTTGTGACTACATTTCCACTCATGTTTACAATGTATTCCAATCAAATGTACCCACTCTATAAAAAACTATTTTTAGAGACAAGTTCTTGATATGTGTGTATAACCATATATACTTATATATACACATATTTATATACACATATATAAGCATATACATACATAAACACTATATATAAGCATACATATACATATATAAGTATATATGTACATATATATATACGCTTATATATATAAACATATGTGTGTGTCTATCTATCTATCTATCTATCTATCTATCTATCTATCTATCTATCTATCTATCTATCTATCTATCTATCTATCCATTCTAAACTGGTCTTGATTCAGCCTCCCAAGAGCTGAGATCAGGAGTATAAAAGCACTACACCTGGATACTTTGTAAAAAACAAAACAACAACAACAAACAGCTGGGCATTGTGGCTCATGCCTTTAATCCTAGCTACTCAGGAGGCTGAGAGCTGAGAATCATGGTTCAAAGCCAGCCCAGGCAAGAAGATCCATGAGACTCTTATCTCCAATTAACCACCAGAAAACCGGAAGTGGCACTGTGGCTCAAGTGGTAAAGCACTTGCCTTGAGCTGAAAAGCTCAGGGAAAGTGCCCAGGCCCAGAGTTCATGCCCCACGACAAAACACACACACACACACACACACACACACACACACACACACACACACACACACACACACACACACACACACACACACACACACACACACACACCAGGCCCAGAGTTCATGCCCCACGACAAAACACACACACACACACACACACACACACACACACAAATATGGGGTAGAGGGACAGTACTAGGGATTGCACTTGGCAGGCAAACAATCTACCACTCAGCTCTTTAGCCTTTCCAGTTCATTTTTCAGGTAGGATCCCACTGTAAGCCTGAAGCTTGCCTCAGACTGCAAACCTATCTATGCCTCCCATATCAATAGCATTGCAGGCATGCATCTCCTTTGCCCAGATACTTCTGTATAATTGTTTTAATAGAGATGAGTTATTTTTAAGGAAAGCATAAAACATTGCTCAAGTGGCATGCTATTGTGGGTGAAAAAAACAACATACAGGTAGGTAAACTCAAAGAGAAGTTTAACTACAAGTAATTGTAGTCAAAGGTAACTACTACTCATTTTTCTATTACTCATTTTCCCCCCTTACAAATCTGCAGTTGATCATGTCCTTCAGAAAAAACACCTCTCCAAAAAACAAACTTTACAGTTTAGGCAGGGGGTGGGGGAGGAGGGAGGGAATGTAGTTGTGGAGATGGGAGGGAAGGGATGGTAGGGAGAAAACAAATGAGGAGGCAACAATGCTTGATAAGAAATGTACTCATTACCTTGCTCATGTGATTATAACCCCTCTGTACAGTATTTTCACAATAAAAAAACTTATTTAAAAAAAAAAAGAAAAAGAAAAACACCTTTCCCACAGAGCTAATCTTACTATAAGGTTCATTAAACCCCTCCTCTTGCCGGGCGCCGGTGGCTCACGCCTTTATTCCTAGTTACTCAGGAGGCTGACATCTGAGGATCATGGTTCCAAGCGAGCCCAGGCAAGAAAGTCTGAGAAACTCTTACCTCCAATAAACTACTTGAAAACCAGAAGTGGCGCTGTAGCTCAAGTGGTAGAGCGCTAGCCTTGAGCTGAAGAGCTGAGGGTCAGCGCCCAGGCCCAGAGTTCAGGCCCCACAATCGGCAAAAACAAAAACAAAAAACCAAACCCTCCTCTCTTACATTATTTACCAAGCTTCCTAAGTGATGAACCTAACTCCACCCTCAAATGTTTTGAAGCCCTTCCACTCAGCAGCCCAGAGGAATGTGGAGAATTAATAATACATTTCCCTACCTCAAATTTCTCTAAGTCACAGCAAATAATAGGTTGGGAAAAACAACAGTCTACTCCAAGCAGGCTGCCTGCTGTCTACATTTATGAGGCTGCACTGGCAAAATGGTTAAAGCAAGTGGCAACAGGTTAGTAAGGACTGATTTCTTCCACCTTCTCTTCATTATAGTTAGCTTGGATGAAAGTCTCCTCTAGCTCAGGAAATCAGGCAGCAAAACCCTCAAATACTAAAAGGCAGGCCTACATGCACCTATCATAGAGTCTATCTTTCCACTCCCTGAGGAATTCAATCCTTCTCCTTGTTTCCCTGACCCCAAGTCCCATGTTTCTATGGAGACCTGAACTCTGAGGATTCCCATGAGCATCTGCCCAGGGCACTGGCTACTGACTGCGTCACATAGCCAAGGTCTTCTTTGTTTAGCCTCTCAAGGGAGAAGCTGCCCAGACCTGTGGCCCAGACCCAAAACCCAACAAATCTGTGACATCCTCCAGCGTAAGCAAACTCACTGCAGCTGGGAAGGTCGGCAGGCCAGCCTGACAGGCACCAGCCAATCCAAACAGGCACCCTGTGCCAACCCAAACCCACGGCCTCTCCTTTCTCTTGTCTCTAAATAAACACTGTAGTGAAAATTAGTGTGCCCTAGTACCCAGGTCAGTTTCTAGAGGCAGGACTGGAGCCAAAGGCTGCTTCTGGTAGAGAAGGCAGTCACTGGGCAGTGAAAAGACTTGAGGCTGCCCTGCTTACATATTCACTTCCTTATGAGGCCAGGGGAAGCACCAGAGATTTCCTGCCTCATTGAGGAAATAGAACCTTTCTCCCTCTTACTTAAGCTGTGGTTTACCCTTACCAAACCATTATCTCTCCTTCCCAGTCATTTCCTCCAGCCCTTCAATCCTATCCTGCTCTCTATGTAACACATCAACCAAAGTCTTCAAAAGTACCAAGTTAGAATCACAATGCATTTTATTATGTGTGGAAGTACCACATGTAACATTACTGAGATTTTAGAAAATGAAGTTAGCCAACCTGAGACTGTAGGTTCTGATGTAATGTACTTTCATAAAGTCCTTTCCTAGCTTTGTGTTCCTGTCCCCCCTACCCCCTGTCACATCATCAGTTCCAACATATTCTTCACTTTTTGGCACTCCCTCAATCTCAACTAGGATCCATACTCCACAAGCGTTTCCCAAATACCTCTGACATGCAGCGAACTGGGGAGTGGTGAACTAAGCATGATTTGCCTTGAATTCATGGGATTCAGGAATCAACTCAAGTGTACAGATTACCTTTGAGTAAATGACAACCCAATGCAACAAGTAGGGGGAGAGATATGGATGAACAGGATATAAGAGGGCCACATACAAATGGTAGCCAACCCAGGTTGTAGGGTTTGCAAATAGGTGGGTCACCTAGTTTTGTTAATGAAGTTTTACTGGCACACAGCCACATCCCCTCATCTAAACATGTTTCGTATTACATAGTAGAGTCTGTATCACTCACAAAGCCTGCAATATTTACTGTCTGACCCCAGGGAAAGAGAGCTCTCCTGAGATCTGAAGGAAGAGGAATGGCAGGAGGAAAAACAATGTTCCAGGTAGACATTTGCCAAGTGTAAAGCTAGCATCTGTTTAGTGGCTGCTGAACAAAGACTTGAAAGCAGGTTGGATTCAAAGGTAGGCCAGTGGTGAAAGCAGGACAATGTGAGGAGTCTCCAGCCTGCTAAGGATTGGAACTCAAAACTGGAAGACAAATGAAGGGATCATTCACGTTCCACCTCACCGCTCATCAGCAAATCTTCCATTCATTTCCTGTGAACTGACTTTAAGTGACTAGTATACTGCACAAAAACCAAACTTCACTGGGGCTGGGAAGGTGGCTCAGTGGTAGAATGCTTGCCTTGCATGCGTGAGACCCTGGGTTCGATTCCTCAGCACCACATAAGCAAAAAGAAAAAAGCCAGAAGTGGTGCTGTGGCTCAAGTGGTAGAGCGCTAGCCTTGAGCTGAAGAGCTGAGGGACAGCGCCCAGGCCCAGAGTTCAGGCCCCACTACTGGACCCAAAAAAACAAAACAAAACAAAAACCAAACTTCCCTACCTGAGCTCTTGCCCACTGTCCCTTTCAGACCCCAACTTATGTATGAACTTACAGAAGTAACAAGGCATATGAAGGAAGTTGTCTTGTTCTTTCACTTCTTCCTCCTACCGCAATGTCAGACATTTCTGGAACTTTTTGCTTTGCATTTCAAATGCCCTTTAGCTATTTTCTGCTTTTGCTTCTTTATCACAGAGCTCTGAAACCTGACTCCCTCCACTCTGCTCATAGATGACCTTTACCTAACCTAAAAACCCCCACAACCTCATTTAATAGATAAATACAGACTCTTGAGCCCAGCACTGTCCCTCCCTTCTTGTCCATTCTGCTCTCACATACCAAAACTTCGAAGATCTTCTATTTTCTTGATTTATTGAACTCTGCACTCAAAGACTTTAATTCTTTGATAGCTTTATATCATTGTCTATATTCTACAGCTCCTTGATCTAAGTTCCACATCTCTACTTTGTGTGTGTGCACACACACGCACACATATGTGCACGCATACACACACACACACACACGCGCGCGCACACACACACAATCCTGGAGCTTGAACTCAAAGAGTCTGGGTGCTGCCAATGAACTTTTGTGTTCAAGGCTAGCACTCTACCATTTGTGCCACAGTACTACTTCTAGCTATTACAAGCAGGTATTAGTAATTGCCCAAAACTGAAGTGATAGTTAAAACCTATTGGTTATTAGTTATCACTGGAACCAAGCACTTTCTTCCTACAAAATAGTTTCCAAACTTTAGCATGAAAACATTTGGTTAAAAAAATAGATACCTAAGTCCAGTCTCACTGGGAGAAGTGAAACTAGAAGAAGCATATAAGAGCTACTTGCAAGCCCAACAAAACTCAACCACCTTACTCACAATTTTTGTCCCCTGGGGCTTCGGGGCCCCGGTGGCTGGTGTCAGAAGCTGTTTAGCCACAGCTTCCCGCTGGGTTATGTCCACAGAGCTTAGAGCTGTGCGACTGCCATCCTCGTTGATGACCATGGAGGCTCCTGGATGCACATTGGGGCCATTAATGACTGCTTGCCTCAATTCCTGGACATTCCAGGGGGTAACTGGCTGAGGGTAGGTCAATTTTGTGGCAAACACCTAGAAATGAAGAGTAAGCATAAACATCCAGAGTAAGCAGATAAAGGGGTTCAAAAAATAACTCAACAGGCTGGCTGACTTTTCTCCCAAATTGTGGGAAGCTGTTCACTTATCCAAGAAAGCCCTTCAACAAGTAAAGCAACATCTGCCTGTTTTTCCACAGAGCCATTTTGCCAGACTCTCTTAAAGGAATAGACTATGCCTCCTTTTCTGGAAGTCTATCTGAGCAGAGTAATTCAAATGTTAGTTTATGTGTTTTGTTTTTCAACCCATTTTACAACTTCATCATTTTCCTATCAATAAAGTTAAAATCCGCTAAGGCATACAGTATGGGGTGCTTGAGGCCAACTGGACAATACCACTGCACTCCTACCACACCCCACCTGCAGCACAAACTGCTTGTGGCACTTTCCCAGGCGTAGACATGACATGAAAGACTTTCATCACATTGTAACCAAGGTGGCACTTCAGCTGAAATGGATTTGTAATTCTGATGCCTGAGAAGATGCAGTGTGCTCCATTTGTACTAGGCCCACATCCCATCTTCTCCCAGACAAATGAGTTTTCTAGTTCAGTGAGTCTCTGAACTACTGGATACCATAAATTCCTTTGATGTTTCAAAATGCAGGTAAATACATCAACTACACCAGTATTACTTAAGAGAATCTTGTCTAACTTTTTCCATATCTCTAAGCAGTTGCACTTTATGAGCAGCCTCTCCTGGCCACCCTTGACCTTGTGATCCCACTCCCCGAGTGCCCTTAGGGACACTGTCTAGTAGTCTTGATGCATTTGTTTGTTAGGAGACAATGCTCTGGTTGGACTGGCTTCCTACAAGGTGCCAGGTGTCTAGCTCATTTTTAAGCTTATCTGACTTCTTTGCTCCCCTCAGCAGTGCTATGTAGGAAAGTTGTGTGCAGTTTCACTCACTTTGCTCTCCCAGGCACCCTGTGCTACCCCGTAGGCCTTCAGAATCCTCAAGCAGGGTAGAGGCAGGCAGGGAGGTAACTTCTGAGGTTTACCACAAGGGACAAACACAGATCCCAGAAAAGGGATGCTTACAACCCTTTAAAAGTAGAAAGTGAGGTTTCATTACAAGTCTCTCCCAAAGCCTAGGACAATCTAGGCACTATAAGGTTAAAAGCCAGTCTGAGTGGCCCTGTCCTCTGTCCAGACAGCAACAAAAATGCCCTGGGTCTCTCCTCCTAGGGCTTCAGACTCAGAAAAGTCACCACGGGGTTTTACAATGTGTTTCCTTGCAGCTTGGACTCAAGAGATGCAAAGATGGGAGGCACTGGGCAAGGGTGGAGCCTTCTCTGCCTCACCTCCTAACACAGCATGCCCTTATCCAGGAAGCTCAACTGTGCCCAAGAGAATCAAAAAACACTTCAGCTTTGCTCATTACCAGCACCCCCGAGAGAGAGGGTGATGTGTGAGGAAATGAGACTCTCCAGAGGGAATTAAACCATCTTCACATTATTGATCTCAAGGCTCATTAAGGAGGAAGTTGATTGAACAATGGCTGCTAATGAGCACCCTGACTTGAACTGGGGAGGAAGTGAGGAAAGGAAGCTGGATTACTAAGGAAACACTAAGGGGTTTACTCCAAGAGGAACTGGAAGGGATGAACAACATGTACATGTCTCCACTCTAGGGGACTTGTCCCCTTTCTCTGGTTACCAAAGAAGTACACATCCCCAATGGGACTGAAATTTGCCTTTTCCTGTCATGTACTCAATTGGATGAGGAAAATTTAAAGACTTCGGTGAAATGGACAGAGAGTGACATATGGCAGGGATAAAGATACTGTATCCTGCTGGGAGCTCCTGGTGCCCCAGACATGGGTCTCCCTTGTAGATTGGCATCTGGAATCTTGCCAAGGGGAAAGAAACACACTACCATGCAGCCTCAAATCCCTTCCCCACAGGCTCTTCTTCCACTAGAACCACTATCATCTGTGTAGTGCACCCTATCTCCAGGCCTCTATGGCATGTCAATCTACTGCCCACAAGTGGTGAAATGAGGCCCTCCCAAAATACACACCATGGGAATGCCAATTTCATTGGTGTTGATGTACATATCTGGGCAGATGACTGAGCGTGCTGCATAATCTACTCGCTTTCCCATCATATGCTTTCGGAAAAGTCCTTCCTTCTTCTCCAGGATCTGTAGAGAGCAAAACAAACTCCATAGAAACCATTCAACAATTTAAGAATAGAATTTTTTGCTTCAATACAAGTATACTTCTCATGCATACACATCAACATGAGTTAGTAACTGAAATACAACTTATAGCTCACCTGTCTAATGCCAGGGTACTTTTCCATCATTAATTTATCCATCTCGCTATCAAACACGATATTGACATGGCTCTGAAGTCGAATCCAAATGTTATAAAGCTTGTCTGTGAGAGACTGGCCTGGAAGCATACTTAAAAAGGATCGGTCCATAGCAATTGAAGAGTCATTTTCCTGGAAAGATAAAACCAAGAGAAGAGATGATAAAAGCAAAAACCAACCAAGCAAACAAACAAATCTCTAAAAGGTCTGGCTTGATTTTATTCTTTTTATCCTAGTAATGACATGCAGTGAGCTCTGGTGTTTGCCTTTGAAGTGTAGGGATAGATGACCAAAGTGCTAAGAGCCTCATTACATACAGACCAACTGGTTTCTTTCTGGTAATCAAATTAATTCAAAATCCCTAAGTAGGCTTTTTTCCCCCAGTCCTGGGGCTTGAATTCAGGCCCTAAGCTTTGTTTTGCTCAAGGCTAGCACTCTACTACTTAAGCCATAGCTTCACTTCTGGCTTTTTAGTTTATGTGGTGCTGAGGAGTCCAACCCAGGGCTTCATGCATGCTAGGCAAGCACTCCACCACTAAGCCACATCCTGAGCCCCTATTTAGGCTCTTAAGACAGTTGCCAATACACCTGAATATCTCATCCCTCTAAGACAGGAGACCTTTGGAAGTCCTTCTCACATTGGTACTTACAAAGTTCTGTTATCCTAACAGAAAAATGAAGTCATATAGAATTTCAGCTTTCTTTATGCTTAAAAAAAACTTCTCTCATCTGGGCGCAGTGGCTCACGCTTGTAATCATAGCTACTCAGGAGGCTGAGATCTGAGGATTGCAGTTTGAAGCCAGCCTGGGTAGGAGAGTCACTATGAGACTTTCATCTCCAATTAACCACTCAAAAACCAGAGTGCTGCTATGGCTCAAAGTGGCAGAACAATACCCTTGAGCAAAACAACATCACCAAAAAAAAAAAAAAGCAGGTGGAGTAATTTTGTACTAGGAAAACTGTTTGCCACACAACAATGTATATATTAAAATATGGGACCAGTCACCACATGTAACCCTAGCTACTCAGGAAGCTGAGATCTGAGCATCACGGTTCAAAGCCAGCCCAGGTAGGAATGTCCATGAGACTCTTATCTCCAATAAACCACCAGAAAACTAGAAGTGACACTGTGGCTCAAATGGTAGAGGACTAGACTTGAGCTAAAAAGCTGAGGGACAGTGCCCAGGCCCAGAGTTCAAGTCCCACGACCACCACCACCACCACCAACAAAAGAAAATGGGTACCCAAGTAGGCTAGGTCAAATTCCCTAAGCCTCTGAGTATTTGCCAATTGTTTTTAAATATCTCTGCTCCTAGCTCTCTTTCTTCCTCTGCCAATTCAAGGGAGAGGACTATGTTAGATGCTCTTAGGCTGCCTTAGAGCACCCTCTACTGGCTCTATATGACCTAGCCATACATAGCTGGTTCTGAATAAACTAAGATACAGATCACTCCAAAGCCTTACTCTGTTTTCAAAGGGCTACCTAAATACAATTTTCAGTGCTGGTCATTGGATCTAGTAATACTATAGTCTCACCTCCCAAACTGGACCAGAACCTTCACAACAACACTAACTGATTAGATAATTTAGGGACACAAGAAAAAGCTCCAAGAAGGACTAGGTATCCAGAGCCTAAGTGCCCAGGTAACTAGTACCATCTTGTGAAGGGCTTGGCTGGCAGCAGGACTATCTCAGCAGCTGGCTGGCAGTCTGAGAGGGAGATCTGTATACAGAAGACTGGAAAAAGGTATTTTTGTTTCTATCTAGACCATGTTTGAAAGACTAAGGACTTCAGTGACTTCAGCAAACTTAAAGAGTATATGATTCATTCTACCCTAAAGACCTTGTCTTTAGGTTCTAACACCTTCAAAGGGCTAGAAAATGTCACCTGGCACAGCATTATTCTGAGTAACTCTATTGGTGTCTTATTGACACCAATGCTGGAGACCTTAATGAGCCCAAAATAGAACCAAGTGACATGAGCTCTGGGTTTTCAACTTGGGGAGGACAGATGTATGAAATCTTACCACAGACTATACATACATTATAGAGAAGGTAAGTCTAAAAAGTTGAAGTGACTCAGCCCCCAGCATAGTCACCTGGCACAGTCATAGGGAAAATCCTAGATTATAACCCAGATCTATCATGCTCAGGCAGCACATGCTTGTTCTCTTAATAAATCCACAAACCCACAGCTCCGACTAAGGATGTTGCCAGCTGCATACAGCATCCTGCCAGCACTGTTCAGCAGTGCTAACACTGCCTGGGGTTAGAACAAAGCCTGTGAGAAACAATGAGGCAGCCCTGACCTTGTCTGTGGTGAGTGCTACAACCTCACAGGGCAGCTTCTGTTCTTGGGCCATCAATGCCAGAAGTTTTCGGATTAGAACTACGTCTTTTATGACAGCTTGCAGGTTCACAGTCTGGCCATTGGTAAACATTTGGTCCCCCAGGCGATTGACGGGACGATACCTGTAGAATAACATACAGAATGATGACAAATGCTTGACAGGTGATACCTATAGAATAATATACAGAGGTGACATGAATCTGCTCACATTCTTCCTTCTGTGCTCAGCACTACCTGCTGCCTAGAGCAGATGACAGCGTGCTTGATTTCTGAGTGCCTTTGACCCTTCTAGCCCTTGAGGTCCCTGCTCAATCCCTAGGCTAATCTTTTTCAGGTAAGATAAAGGGTATTACCTGGAGGGTGGCACCACCACAAAATCAAGAAAAAACATACTGGGATTGAATCTCGCTTCTGTGCCCACAGCAAGTCCAGAAAAGAGGTAATTCAAAAAGAATCCTGTATTTGAAATAAATAAACCAAAGAGACCACTTAATCAATATGTAAAGGCATGAGAGGACAACAACAAAATCAGTGAGGGAAAGTAAACCTGAATATAGGATAATATATAGAGTAAAATCACTTTTTTTTCTTTATAAAAACAAATAAAAATAGCATCTGTGGCTATTATGAAGGTAAGAGGATGGTATAAAAATAAAGATAAAACAAGGTAACTAAAGATATAACTACATTAAAAAAAGACTTCTTCAATTCACAGAAGAAATTCTCATAGAAACCTTTAAAATACTTTCTATCTATGGGCATTTAAAACAGATGAGTTACAATGAACTTCAGGATATATTTTACTGTATTAAGCCCATCTGTAGCTGTTATTTAATAATTAGACTCATTTATATCAAGTCCTTGGTGCTGGGTCTGACCCCCCCCCCCCACATTATGATGTCTCAAATTCAAACACTCTGAAGCCTGCCAGCTTCAGACTTGTAAGCTGATTTCAAGAGAAAGCGACAATAACCACAACTTTAAGAACTAAGAGTACAGGGTTAATGCGTCAAGGAAATTTAAGTCTGGAGAAGATACAGGCTATTTCTTTAGTTGGTATACCACCTTCATTCTTCCAAATGGCAAAAAGATGTTCTTCGGCACTGCTAGGTGTTAAATACCCTCGTTTTCCCATCTGAGCTTCCTCAATTCCTGAAGCTAAGAGAGAGGGAGGGACAGATTGGAACACAATAAATCAATAATACACCTGTAATGGGATTTATCAATTCTATGTCCTCATTTTATAAACAAATCTTGCAACTTGACCACAAGAATCAATATCTAAGATAGCCCTGGCTTTCATGTAGTTATTATGTAAAACTTAAAAAAATAGAGCAAAGCCGGGCACTAGTGGCTCACGCCTGTAATCCTAGCTACTCAGGAAGCTGAGATCTGAGGGTCGCAATTCAAAGCCAGCCTGGGCAGGAAAGGCCATGAGATGAGATTCTGATCTCCAATAAACCACTAGAAAAGTGGAAATGGCGATGTGGCTCAAGAGCCTTGAGCTAAAGAGCTAAGGGACAGTGCCCAGGCCCAGAGTTCAAGCTCTAGTACGTGTGTGTACACACACACACACACACACACACACACACACACACACACACACACACACACACACAAATAAAAAAAACTAGGTTTGTTGTTTATGCTAAGTCTCATCAGAGTCTTCAGTGTGAAGGATACATCTCCAGAGGAGGGAATTTATCTCTACCCAATCCATATTGTGAAGCCCTGGGGGAAATAAAATCTAGTAACATTATCTACTGTGGTAGAAAATGTTCAAGTCTGGACCAGGCAGGCAGTTCTATTATTGCCAGGCCATATGCCCTGGAAACAAGCTCCAAAATGTAGCTTCTCTAAGCTACTCTTGATATATAGTAAAGCCAACTGTCTCTTTTTTTAAAAAGTATGAATACTCAGTCTCAATTTTCTCCCAAGTACCAAGGAAAGAACAGAGATGAGAAGATTGCCTCCATCGGCAGGGATCCAGGATCAATGTGCATTATAGGCAATAATACTTTCTTGAGTTCTTTTAGTTCTTCAAATTATTCATCTATATTTGACATGTTTCAAAATCTTTGTCAGGCGAAAGTTTTAATGTTTTTATTTACAACTTTTTTGATAAAAGACTGGAGATATGGCTCAGCCATAGAGTACCGCCTAGTAAGAATGAGGCCCTTAGTTAAACCCCAGTACCATTAAAAATATAAATCTTTTAAAGAAATAATCATTTGAATAAACAGGGAAGTAGAAGCCTATAATCCCAGCACTCATGAGGCTAAAACTGGAGGACTATGAGTTTGAGGCTAGCCCGAGTTACATAGCAAGATTCTATCTCAAGAAACAAGGAAAAGAAAAAAGCAAAAACCATGTATGACACTTGTGGGGCACTATCTCATAGTGTCATCCATACATTGCTTCTCCTGTATGACAGGCCTGGGTTGAGCACTCCCTAGGGAACCCTCCAGATCAGATCTCAGAAGTCTGGATGCCATCCTTCTGCTGATCTACCAAATATGTAGCTGAGGAAGATACTGTGCAGGAAACCAGGTATTCCCAAAAATTTGAGACAAATCTGATGGCCACATATGAGAAATATGGCCAATAAGCACCCCTCAGAACTCAGCCTGCTTACCTGGATCCTCTGTGTCCTTCTGGTCAGATTTCTTGTGCACCACAGCTGGGTACATGACTGTCAGCTTACTGTTGTGCTCCTTTCGGACAAGTGACCGCCCAGTCCTACATGAGGATGGTTGTGAGTGAGAAAAAGGAACCCCAATGAGACATTCAGTAATGGTTCTGAGTGATTAGAGAGAGCATTCTCACCCAGAAGGGAAAGGTGGGTACCCCAATACTCACTTGCAGTGGGGACATCGCTTAGCAGTCATATGTGTCTTCCAGAAGTAAGCAATGAGTTTGCTCCTGCTTTCACACACATTTTTTACCTGTTAAAAGTCAGAGAACCTTGAAGTGCCATTTTAAAAAGAATTCATTATGTATTTGTTTTATGATTCCCACCATCTCTTTTAACAAAAGGAAAATACCTCTACTTTCTTACACAAATACTTCCCACAAAACTCTAAAATAACTAAACTCTTTCAATTATGAGTAATTTCTTTTTTTTTTTTTTTTTTTGTCGGTCGTGGGACTTGAACTCTGGGCCTGGGCGCTGTCCCTCAGCTCTTCAGCTCAAGGCGAGCGCTCTACCACTTGAGCTACAGCGCCACTTCCGGTTTTCTGGTGGTTTATTGGAGATAGGAGTCTCACGGTCTCTCCTGCCCGGCTGGCTTTGAACCGCGATCCTCAGATCTCAGCCTCCTGAGTAGCTAGGATTACAGGCGTGAGCCACCAGCGCCCGGCTTATGAGTAATTTCTTTAGCCTTCCGATTCTTATTCATAATACAAAACTAAAAATACAACCCACCTGAAAAAGCTGTTACTTAGATAAAAAGATCATGGATGCAATGTGGGATGCTTGGAATATAATTAGTGCTAATCACATTAGAGTTTTTTTTTTTTTTTTTTTGCCAGTAATGGCATTTGAACTGAAGGCCACACATTTGTTCAGCTGGCTTGCTCTGCTGGTGCTCGTCTACTTGAGTTTGGCCTCTAGCCAGCTTTGTGCAGCTTAACTGGGGAGAGTTTCTATGACTTTTGTACCCAAACTGGATTCTAACCTTGATTCTTCAATCTCAGTCTCCCGAGTAGCTAGGATTACAGTTATGAGTCACTGGCATCCAGCTAATTAGTCTTTAAAACAAACCTCTCTGGCTACCACTGAATACCCTCCCTGATGCTCTCTTTCAGATGGACCTCAGGATTCTGAGCAATGCACATCTACAGTTCTTGTGCAATGGACTCATACATGTTTATCAGGTGGGAATTTGGTGCCCTGCACGTGGACCTCACCTCAAACAAGTAGTATGACACCTGGGTATGAGGTAAATCATATATTAAGATTAGTGCTATGGTAATCACCTAATATCAATTTTAAAAAAAGATTAATGCTATGGTTGATTGTCTACCACATTCCTTCACTGGACAAGTGAATATTCACACAGGTGTTATGGAGAGGAAGATGAGGCAACTGATTCAGAGAGAGGGTTGGAGAAAACAACAACAACACAGACCCCACTATCAAAGTGGGTGCTTGCTGGATGTGATGCATAAATGATCGAATCTTTTTTTGGGGGGAGAGGGGGAGGGTCCAGTCGTGGGGCCAGAATTCTGGGCCTGGGCGCTGTCCCTCAGCTCTTCAGCTCAAGGCTAGCACTCTACCACTTGACCCACAACGCCACTTCTGGCTTTTTTCTTTTTGCTTATGTGGTGCTGAGGAATCGAACCCAGGGCCTCATGCATGCAAGGCAAGCGCTCTACCACTGAGCCACCTTCCCAGGCCCAAATGATCTAATCTTATTTGATCCTTTCCTCAGTCCTGTGGGCAGCCATTCAAGATAAGGAAATAGATTTTGCAAGGTCACAGGGTTCATAAGTGGTAGAACTAGGATTATAATCAGCTCTGCCTTGGTAAGCCCAAAACATATGCAGATGACAGTGTAAAGGAACTGTGATAATTATGCTAAAAGCATAATGTTACAGGGAGAGAGACAAAGATAACTCACATGTGCACCTTGGGACCCCAAGAGGTTGTTTTGCAGAATTTGGGTTGTGTATTCTTCTAACTCTTCCTGAATTTCAGTGGCAGAAGGATCAGCATTTTCTTCCAGAAACTAAAAAAAGGAAAACCATATTACTACAGTAAATTAAGTAGGTGTTTGTCAAGCAGCACTGCCTAGGGTAACCATTAAGAGTGCAGAGACTAGTTGAAGGAAGTAAAAGAAACCATCATCAAAGCAGTAAAGCGAGCCAAGTGCTGGTGGCTTACTCTTGTAATCCTAACTATGCAGGAGGCTGAGATCTAAGGATCACGGTTCAAAGCCAGCCAGGTAGGAAAGTCCATGAAACTTAATCTCCAATTAACTACAGAAAACCAGAAGTGGTTCTGTGGCTTAAAGTGATAAAACACTAGCCTTGAGCAAAAGAGTTCTCAGGAACAGCACCCAGGCCCTAAGTTCAAGCCCCATGACCAACAAAACAAAAAATAGTGAAGTGAGCCAGCAATGTAGCTCAGTGGTAGAGAGCAACTTTGCTTGTTTTGCATGCATAAAAGCTGAGGGTTTGGTTCCCAAGCACTCTAAAAGAAAAAGAATCAGCAAGGTAACACTTGAAAAAAATTGAGAATATTCTATTTCTAATAATGGAAGGTTGGATTATTCAGGCCACATTTCCTAAAACTGCAAAGAACCAATATGGGATATACAATATTTTTAAGATATAATGCTCTGAAGAACTGACAAGACTAGTGAGCAATAACCAGACAAATCTGCAAGGAAAATAAGGATCTTGCAAACTCAAAAGACTGTATGATCTGCCAGGCACTTGTGGCTCTTACCTATAATCCTAGCTATTCAGGAGGCTGAAAAATGAGGATTACAGATTGAAGCTAGCCCAGGCAGTAAACTGTGAGACTCTTAGCTCCAATTAACTATCAAAAAGCTAGAAGTAGCCAGGTGCTGGTGGCTCACACCTATAATCCTAGCTACTCAGGAGGCTGAGATCTGAGGATCACAGTTGAAAGCCAGCCCAGGCAGGAAACTCCCTGAGACTCTTATCTCCAACAAACCACCAGAAAACCGGAAGAGGCACTGTGGTGGGGCTCAAGTGGTAGAGTGCTCGCCCTGAGCTGAAGAGCTCAAGGACAGTGCCCAGGCCCAGAGTTCAAGCTCCACAATTGATGGGAAGGGGGGGCAGTGGGGGGGGGGGAGGGGGAGAAAAACCTAGAAGTAGAGCTGTGGCTCAAGTGGTAGATTACTAGCTTTGAACAAAAAATTCAGGAACAGTGCCCAAGGTCATGAATTCAAGTTATAGGACTGGCAAAATAAACAAAGAAAAAAACATGGACTATGTTTGTACACAGTATTATGTGCCTCTGTGGAAAAAATGGGCATAGATGTCTCTTAGGTTTCCTGGAGATCTGTGCTGTGGCAGTGCTGGATGTGGGTACATTTCCAACTCAGCAATTTCTACCTTTCATTTTGAAGCTCTCAAATATTTAGGAGATGCTAATCAAAGTCAAGAAAACTAGAACAAAGTTAGGCATTTAATATACTGTTATTGCTCCTCAACCCAACAAACATTAAGATGGGGACACAAAGAGCTACATTCTCAGAAACTACCAGTCCTTGTGTAATTGCTCATAGTCAAGAGCTCTGAATCTGGACTACAACAGTTTTGAGTTAGCAGTGGGCTGTTCACGCTTACAATCATCTCTTGTTCCTTAGACTGAGTTCCTATACATGCTTTCCTCCCCCTGCTGGAGCTCAGACACCTGACACTGGGTGGGCAATGCCTCTGGGTAGAATCTCACCTTATTCTGCCCACTGAAGGACTGAATTCTTCAGGAATGGGGAGAGAAAAAAGAGGATCTCCCCCCACCCTCCCCCAGTTGTGGGGCTTAAACTCTAGGCCTGGGCCCTGTCGCTCAGCTCTGCAGCTCAAGGCTAGTACTCTACCACTTTGAGCCACAGTGCCACTTCCAGCTTTCTGGTGGTTAATTGGAGATAAGAGTTTCAAGGACTTACTTGTCCTTGCTGTTTTTGAACTGGCTTTGAATTGCAATCCTCAGATCTCAGCCTCCTGAGTAACTAGGATTACAGGCATGAGCCACTAGTGCCTGACTGAGAAGATTTCTCTTTATGATAAGAAATAAGACAAGGAAGCTTACCACTATTTCAACATAATAACATACATCCTACAACCAAAACAAAACAAACACAAGAAACAAAATGTACATGGATTAGACAGAAACAAAACTGCCATTACCTGAAGCTGATAAAATTGTATGGAAAACTAAGAGTACCTATGGATAGAAATACTAGAATAGACAATTTTACCAAGTTTCTTCAATCAAAAATTAATATTTTAGTATGCCAATACAGAAAATGAAAGTCTATCTAATGTACTTATTACAGCACGGTTTTTTTTGTTGTTTTCTTTTGTTTTTTAAACTATTTTTTTTGTCTTTTCTTTTTTGATACTGGGGATCAAACCCAGGACGCTGCACTTGCTAGGCAAGCGCTTTGCCACTGAGCTACCCCAACCCCAGAAAACGTTTAGTAAATAAATTATAAACGGAAAAACATCTACTATAGAACATTTTACTATAGAACTATAGGACTGCTACCCTATCCAAAGTAAAAACTTGGCATGATCAATGGCCGCATATCCTCACATCATGTACCTCCTACAGTAATGCCACATGCGAGTATCTTGTATCATGTCCATTGTATTCTTCATTTCTTTTTGTGGTACCAGAGACTGAACCCAGGGCCTTGTACATGCTAGGCAATCACTCTACAATGTAAACTACATCCCTAGCCGCTTTGTTTACATTTAGCTTTAAGACAGGGTCTTGCTAGCTTTGCCTGGGCTGGCTTTAAACAAGGAATCTTCCTGCCTCTGCCTCTTGGGTAGTTGGGATTAGACAAGGACTACTATACCTGGCTTCATAGAGATTGTATTCTTGCTAAATGTGAATCAAATGAGGAAATAATCAGACAAATCTATATGGTGAAAAACCCTGTAATTTATTTGCCTTGACTCCAAAAAGTCTGCATAATGAAAAAGGATTTTTCTATATTGAAATATTCTTCATTAAAATAGAGTAAAGAGCTATACAATCAAAGGCAACATATAAACCTGGATCCCTGGAGGAAAAGGGAGAAAAGCTCATTAACTGGTAAAACATCCTTTTACCATTTTTTTTCCCATTACTCTATAACTTCATGGTTTTACATCCAGGGATTGATACACAGATGGGAACAAAAGATAAACCATCTCTAGTTCTCCACCATTTGGCTTTCCTGACTTCTATGACTACCATGACCTACCCTGTTCAGAATTCGTTCAAGCTCATAGACTGCTTGTAGGGCCCCAACTTCCAGAACTCTTAGCTGGCAGACCAATAGGTGAATTACAGCCCGGGGACAAGTCAGCATGTGGCAATTTAAACAGGAGCCTCGGAGCAACAGGTAGAGTTTCTAAAGAGTGGAAATTTAAAAACAAAACAAAAACACAACATTAGACAGAAACAGTACTCATGTGATTTTCAGTGCACCCACCATTAGTCAGTTTACTTCTTTTAGAATTCCACTTCAGCTTATATGTTGAAGGTCTTTTTGACCCTAAGAACTAGACAAATATTCCCCTATGTTTTATGGTTTCATCTTAATCCATTAAAATTTGAAATTTATTTAGGATGTGTGGTCTAAGAAATCACTTTTACTTTATTGTGATCACTTATCTAAGACAATAATCTTTCTTTAATATGATTACCAAATAATGCACTAACTCAAGAACGCACTAATTCAAACTGTCAGGAATTTAGCCTCCTCTCTTCTGTGTTGAGATGTAGCCCTCATAAGCCTCTAGCAGTCCTACAACCCACACTTCCAAGACCACACGTACATCAAAGAGGAGAGGGTTATACACTGTCAGTGGAAGCTCAATGTGGCCCAGGTGCCCAGAGCAGTTGCTGAAGTCCTGCACGCAGGTGGAGCATACTTCCTTGGAATCTGCAGGGCCCAAGGCTAAATCATAGAGACCATTTCCGGATGGGTTTCCTAGACCGTCCACATAACGAGGGTTCGTAATGGATTTAACACTTAATTTCCTAAGGAGAAAAACAAACAAGAGAAAGCTCAGGTACCAACATCTCTAGTGATAATAAGAGAGCAGCAGGGTATAAACCAGAACCAGCTCCAAGCTAAAACAGTTGAATGAAGGGAATATGATACATTAATGCTTATATATGCGCAAAGTCAAGAATATTAAACACAAGCCGGGCGCTGGTGGCTCACGCCTGTAATCCTAGCTACTCAGGAGGCTGAGATCTGAGGATCGAGGTTCAAAGCCAGCCCGGGCAGGAAAGACCGTGAGACTCCTATCTCCAATAAACCACCAGAAAACCGGAAGTGGCGCTGTGGCTCAAGTGGTAGAGCGCTCGCCTTGAGCTGAAGAGCTGAGGGACGGCGCCCAGGCCCAGAGTTCAAGCCCCACGACTGACCAAAAAAAAAAAAAAAAAAGAATATTAAACACAAGCACTCAAAGTTTTGATTATCTGTAACAGAGGCAGATCACAACAAGGACTAATAGTGCCAAGTACTAAGCACATAATTCTCCATCCATTTATTTAACAAATAGCTACTAAGTACTTACTAGTAATGTGCCACATCTAATTTTAGGAAATAGACAAAAACTTCTATGTTTATGGGCATAACATCGTATTATAGGAAGAGAAGATAAATTAAGTATACAGCCTGTTAGGTGACGGAATTTCAGTGCTAAGAAGAAAAATGAAAGAGAGGGAAGAATGACAGAATAGGCCAGTGGTTAAAGGCCACACTAGGGAGATGTATGAGTAAAGGCTATAAGGAGATAAGGGAGCAAGCCACAGTCTCTTAGACTTTATAGAAGAAGCAGGGAGTGTTCATGATGTTCCCTGTTTAAAAATTCCACAATTATCTTCTTAAAAACCTTAAGTAACCAATTATGTTTTTGCTTTTGGATGATAATATAACTGAAATTCCTAGCTAGCAAACTGTTCCCAGTGATCCTGTAGCTCAGGAATTTATTTATTCAACCATTTATTTAAGGATGATAAAAGGAGTTAGACATGGGCTGGGAATGTGGCTTAGTGGTAGAGTGCTTGCCTTGCTTGCATGAAGCCCTGAGTACCACATAAACAGAAAAAGCTAGAAGTGGCTCAAGTGGTAGAATGCTAGCCTTGAGCAAAAAAGAAACTCAGGACCTGCCCCTGAGCTAACTGAGTTCAAGCCCCAGGACTGGCAAAAAAAAAAAAAAAGGAATAAGACACACAGGAAGCTTAAGGCTAGCAGACTATATGAACATAAACACAAAGTAACTAAGACACAGTATACTAGGTAAAGAAAAACCTAAGAAACAAAGGACTCTGAACTGAGCTTTCAGAAGTGTGCATGACAGCTGAGGATTTAGCTCAGTGGAAGAGGACTTGCCTGGTGAGTGCAAGGCCCTGAGTTTGGTCCTCAGCTATGGAAAGAAAAAGAAAAAAAAGCTATAAAAGACAAAAAATAGATAAATAAGGCAACTAGAAGTGTGTGATGAGAGACATGGACTGGACTGGATAGGTATGAGGGGGCATGGAGGGAAAAGACAATTCAAGCGTGGCATAAAGAATTTGACATGTAATAAAGTGAAAACCATTGGATAAAAAACCAATATTGGGTAAGATGCAACTAGAGTTCAATGAATGAGATGTCAGGAGATTTCTAAATCATTTCCCTTTATCTGGTGACCATTTTGCACTAAACTATGTACTGTTTTGGAAAGGAATGTCTTCTCAGTTTGGGGGTATAAAGGTGAATGTCGAGATTTTTGACGAATAAGTTTAAGATCTCTATGAATTTCCAGTGAAGACGTCAGAAAATGAAGGAAATGGAAATTCAATGGAAAGATCAGGAAATCTGCACAAGAGATTTAATTTTGGAGTATTAATCATGAAAGTAGTGTGATTGCCTAGAGACAGACAATATTTTAAGACGGGAAACAAAGCATTACCAGAATTTGGCCTTCAGGCACGCCAACATTAAAGAGACGAACAGGCCTGAATCACCTACATGTCATAAACGCCTAGCAAAAATACCAATGATACAACAGACTGATCTTGTAAAGGAGGAGAAAGAACTTGTCATGGAAAAAGTGGACGGAAGTACGATGCTGGAAGAGAGAGAAGTTTCTAGAGTGTGTTCAAGGCTGTCAAATGCGGGGCCCCAAACCAGGACCTAAGAGAAATTCCATTAACTAATTTCCGTAACTAATACAGCGAGGTCTTGGCCTAAACAGAGATCTGGAGGATAAGCACCTTATAGACAAGGTGTTTCACTAGCCTCCGGAAGACATTACACGTTCCAAACGCAGGGGTTAGTGAGGTGGTTAAGTGGTAGGTGAAGCTGCGGGGCAGCGACACGCCCGGGCCCGCCGCATTCTAGGTGTGACGCTGCGGACTCCCGCCGGGTTCGCACCGCCGGCCCGCCGCCCAGCCCGGCCTCCACGCAGTCCACCCCACGCTGGCTGGACGCAAGTTCTTCTGGGAACCGTAGTTTTCCGCGCTGCCCTCCAGAGCCCACCTCCGCAGGCTTCCCACCAACTCCTTACTTGAGCTCCTCAGCCGAATACATGCCGAAGGAAATGCCTTGCAGCCGCCGCCAAGGCAGGTTCTTGGAGACCAACATCCTTCGAGAAAGGCTTCAGATCCGACCACCAGAAGAAGGATCAACTACCAGCAACCACCACCGGCGAATGCCTGACTTCGGAAAACACCAGGAGCCACCATGTGGTTTAAACTGCGCGTGCGTGAGGGAAAGACTGGCTTATTTACATGGACGAGGCCACTTTCGCTGTGCCGTGGGGGGGATGAGTTTCATGATTCACCTTTTTTCTCTTGAAAATCCCGACAGATATAAGACGCAATAAAACAGTATATTAAAGAAATTTCTTCCGCCTAAATGAAGAGCATTCAACCTTTAACTCTTGTGGCAAACATTTTTCAACCAAGAGCTTGCAATCCCCCCCATTTCTACTTGAGCTATTCCGGTCCCGCCTATGACCCTGAAATTTGAGGGCATTCCCAACATGCTCTGCGAAGAAGCCAAAGATGGCGGCGGCTGCGTCTGCCCGGTGGCTGCGGGTCCGTAGCGGGCTTTGCTTGCCGCAGTCGAGAAGTAGAGGGGCAGGTGTGTGTGCACGAGGATTCAGCTGCAGGTAAGAGAAACTTGGAAGATCCTGAAGTCAAAGTTAGTTTTTTTTTTCCCCTCAGACTTTGTCGAGAGGGAATGGCGTGCGCATGCGCTTGCGCGTTCTCCTGTCCTCGTGTTTCTCCCCTCCTCCCTCCTCGGGCGGCACGAGGAGACGCAGATTTGGAAGTAGGTTCGAAATGTGTGGATTCTGTGTGTGTGTGTGTGTGTGTGTGTACACACGTGTACTCGTATACATTCACACACATATATGTGACTGGCATCGGGGATTGAACCCAGGACCTTGCGCTTTTGCTTGGCTTACTTATTCATGACTGGCACTCTCCCGCCTGAGCTTTGCCTCTGTTTCAGCAGATTGCTTGTTAGTTGGAGCTGGAGTCTCTTGGACTTTTCTGCCCCGGCTTACTGCAATCATCCTCTGTTCTCTGTTGGGTACCTAGGATTACAGGTGTGAGCAACTAACGCCCAGCCCGAAATACATGTTCTGTCTCGTTTTTTAGTGCTGGCCCTGGAGCTTGAACTCAAGGCCTGCGCGGTCCTTGAGTTTTTGTGCTCAAGGCTAGGGCTCTACCAATTGAGCCCACTCTCCACTTAACAGATTTGTTGTTGTTGTTAATTGGCAGTAAGAGCCTCACGGACTTGTCTGCTGGGGCTGGCTTTGAACCGCGATCCTCCCATCTCAGCCTCCTCCTGACTAGCTAACCTTACAGGCTTGAGCCACCGGCGCCCGACAAAATACATGTATACTTTATGGAGGTGTTCATTGGTTGTTTGCCGTACCTTTGAGTTGGTGGAAATGTTCGCGAAAGTAGGATCCTGCCCTCGTGGCGCTTACATTTCAGTAAAATGGCTTGTAAAAAATAATTTCCCCTTTCTTTCTTACTCTTTCCAGTCTGGTCTGAGGCAACCGGAAGAAGTAATAGATTTTCCCAAATGAAAGTCAGTGGAATGAGGGAGAGAGATGGAGGTGGGGTACTTATATCGGTATGTCATAATGAAATGCCTCCTTTCCCTGTAAAACTAACAGAAGTCTTTTAAAAAGTAAAAGACTGGGGCTGGGAAGGTGGCTCCCTGGGTTCCATTCCTCAGCACCATATAAGCAGAAAAAGCCGAAAGTGGCGCTGTGGCTCAATTGGTAGAGCGCTAGCCTTCAGCTGAAGAGCTGAGGGAAAGTGCCCAGACCCAGAGTTCAGGCCCGACGACCGACCGAAAAAATAAAAGGTAAACCCAGCGCTGGCCTGTAGTCCTAGCTACCAGAGGCTGAGATCTGAGTATCACTGTCCAAAGCCAGCCCAGTCAGGAAAGTCCACGAGACTCTTACCTCAATTAACCACCAGAAAACCAGAAGTTGTGCTGTGCCTCTGAGTGGTATCGCTGGCCTTCAGGGGAAAAAAAAAAGTTTTCAGACAGTGCCCAGTCCTTAACTTCAAACCCCATGACAGCAAAAAATTTTAAAAAAATAAAAAAAGGTAAAAGGCAGTCTATAATCACCACTGTGGGCTGAATGTTGTAGGAACTTTGGACCAAAGAAATTGATATGTTTTCACAAAGGCACAAAAAAGGGATATGGTTAGAGCTTTGGAGTTCCTCTTTATTAGCTTAAAAAAAAAAATCACTGCCAACAGTGGTCTTGTGGAAATATGGAAGCAATAGTGTATAGTGAAAACTTGAAATAAACTAATTTTTATTTTATGTATGTTGGAATTGAACTCAAGACCTCATGTACTAATTTTTGCATCTATCTGAGCTACATACCCAGCTCAAGATTGATTCAGTTTGCTTTTTCTTCACTTTGATGATAGACAAATTTTCTCATCAGTTGACTGGAGCCAGTAATAAGCCATCTGAAAACTGAGGAATAAGCTGTGTAACTTACTACACGCACAAGCCTACAGATGCTTACTCATGCATATGTACTTTCCCTCTATTACCCTGAAAATGAAATGCAAAAACATTGCAGTTGGTTTGGCTGAAGCCTATACATACTTCAATTCCAGCCCTTTTCCTGCTAAGTGATTCTACCCAATTTTTACATGACAATAGCATCCCTTATCATTCATTGTTAATACAATAGTGATCTTGGTACTAATGTCGTGAGAAACAGGTAGCATGACTTGAAAAAACATCCTTAGCAGAGAGGTATTTGTGCCTTAAAATGCTGTTTTGGAGGCTGGATTTCACCCGTTGAGAGAGTTTTTGTTTAATATGCTTAAGAGCCTGGTAACCCCAGCACTCTCAAATAACCCTCCACTACCACCCCCCTCCCCCCAAAAAAGTTGCTAAAACAATGCCTAATGCTAGATAATCAATGGAGGAAGTATTTTATGTGTAATAACGTTTTTCTGAATCGTTCTGATGCCATTTAGATGGTAATACATGGGTCATATTAACTGTATATTATCTGTAATGCTGACTATTTTTAGGCTATTCAGTAAGAATAGGAATGTAATTAATCCATGAGTGAGATATTTATTTATTTATTTATTTGTCTTTTCTTTTTTGGTACTGGGGATTGAACCCAGCTAGGCAAGTGCTTTGCCTCTGAACTACATCCCAGCCCTTTTTTTTTTTTTTAAGTCTGTCAGTTGTGGGGCCTGAACTCTGGGGCCTGGGCGCTGTCCCTCAGCTCTTCAGCTTAACACTAGTGCTCTACCACTTGAGCCACAGCGCCACTTGCAGTTTTTTCTGCTTATGGGTGCTGAGGAATTGAACCCAGGGCCTCATGCATGCAAGGCAAGCACTCTACCACTGAGCCACTTTCCCAGCCAGAGTGAGATATTTTAAAACCTAGTAATGAGCTAATCAGTCTGTGTTTTGGGTAAAGAGAATTTGAACCTCTGGGGAAAATAATAAGTTCCCAATCTGAATTAAACTTTATTTATGTTGGTACATTTCTGTTTATTAAAAGTTGAGCCAAGTGCCAGTGGCTCTTGTGTTAGATTCCTCGATACTCAGGAGGCTAAGATCTGAGGCTCATAGTTTTAAGCTAGACAGGATAGGAAAGTCTGTGAGACTCTTTATCTCCAGTTAACCACCAGAAAACCGGAAGTGGTGCTATGGCTCAAACCTGTAGAATGCTAGCCTTGAGTGAAAAAGCTCAGGGACAGCACCCAGCCTTTAAGTTCAAGCCCCATGACCAGCCCCCGCCAAAAGTAGACTATAAGACTATAAGGCCATAACTGACTTTAACTTTGTCATAATTGTTTTAAATAAGATACGCCTATACTATTAAGAGTATTGTCCACATACAAGCAAGAGCTTAACCCCAAAGTGTTTTCGATTTCCAAAATTGAAATTCCATTGTATTTTAAACCAGCTGCTTCGATTGTTCCAGTGCTATGAAAATTTTACTTTTCTTTCCTTGATTTTTTTTTTTTTGTAATATAAGTGCCTGCTTTAAATTTTTTTGGCCTTCTTTTTTCTGTATCTTGTATCCATTCTTTTTTTTTTTTTTTGGTCAGTCGTGGGGTTTGAACTCTGGGCCTGGGCTCTGTCCCTCAAGCTCTTCAGCTCAAGGCTAGCACTCTACCACTTGAGCCACTGCGCCACTTCTGGTTTTCTGAGTGGTTTATTGGAGATAAGAGTCACACAGCCTGGGCTGACTTTGAACCTCGATCCTCAGCTCTCAGCCTCCTGAGTAGCTAGGATTACAGGTGTGAGCCACCAGCGCCCAGCTACATTCTTAAACCATATTGAACATACATAAGCTTTTGTCCAGTTTGATTGGGATAACTTGAAAATTTTGATTCAAAATGCACTTAAAAGGAAAATTTTGTTTTTGTTTCTTACAGATTTTATTCTGGAAGTGCAGCCCTCCAAAAGGTTGAAGGAACTGACACAATAGGTATACATATATATGCATATTTGTTTATGAAAAAGTATTGAAATAATTCCACTTTTAAAATCACATTGTATTCCTTTGTAGTTGTAATTAAGAAACATTTATTTTGTTTATTTCTCTAAGGGATTGAAGAAGTAGTCATTCCAAAAAAGAAAACTTGGTAAGTATTCAATCATTGTTCATTCTGCAAGTAGTTGAATGTTTCTTATAAGGGTCTGAACCATGTAAACAAACCTTAATAGAGACTAACAATGATTGTTTTGGAGTATAAACTTTTTGTGAGTACTGGTACTGAAGCTTAGACTCAGGGACTTGTCTTTTGCTCTGTTTTGTTTATGATTGGTGTTCTACCACTCAAGCCACACCTCCAGTCTGGCATTTTGCTGATTAGAAATCAGATTCTGGGCTGGGAATGTGGTTTAGTGGTAAATGCTTGCCTAACATACACAGAAAAGGCTGGAAGTGGTGCTGTCGGGCAAGTGGTAAGGTATTAGCCTTGAGCAAAAGAAGCTCAGGGACAATGCTCATGCCCTGAGTTCAAGCCCCATGATTGGCAAAAAAAGAAAAGAAAGAAGAGTCTCACACATTTTTTTCCCTTTGAACTGTGTCCTCAGATCTCAGCCTTCTGAGTAGCTAGGATTACAGCTGTGAGCACTGGTATCTGCCTAAACCTTATTTTTAATAATACAAGTTGTGCATATACAT